TAGAATAGAACTAGAACAGAACTAGAACAGAACAGAACAAGAACAGAACTAGAAAAGAACTAGAACATACTAGACAAACTAAACAGAAGTAGAACAGAACTAGAACAGAACTAGAACAGAACTAGAACAGAACTAGAACAGAACTAGAACAGAACTAGAACAGAACTAGAACAGAACTAGAACAGAACTAGAACAGAACAGAACTAGAACAGAACTAGAACAGAACAGAATTAGAACAGAACAGAACAGAATAGAATAGAATAGAATAGAATATATATAGAATAGAATAGAATAGAATAAAAGAATAGATAGAATAGAATAGAATAGAATATAATAGAATAGAATAGAATGAATAGAATAGAATAGAATAGAATAGAATAGAATAGAATAGAATAGAATAGAATAGAATAGAATAGAATAGAAATAGATAGAATAGAATAGAATAGAATAGAATAGAATAGAAATAGAATAGAATAGAATAGAATAGAATAGAATAGAATAGAATAGAATAGAATAGAATAGAATAGAATAGAATAGAATAGAATAGAATAGAATAGAATAGAATAGAATAGAATAGAATAGAATAGAATAGAATAGAATAGAATAGAATAGAATAGAATAGAATAGAATAGAATAGAATAGAATAGAATAGAATAGAATAGAATAGAATAGAATAGAATAGAATAGAATAGAATAGAATAGAATAGAATAGAATAGAATAGAATAGAATAGAATAGAATAGAATAGAATAGAATAGAATAGAATAGAATAGAATAGAATAGAATAGAATAGAATAGAATAGAATAGAATAGAATAGAATAGAATAGAATAGAATAGAATAGAATAGAATAGAATAGAATAGAATAGAATAGAATAGAATAGAATAGAATAGAATAGAATAGAATAGAATAGAATAGAATAGAATAGAATAGAATAGAATAGAATAGAATAGAATAGAATAGAATAGAATAGAATAGAATAGAATAGAATAGAATAGAATAGATAGAATAGAATAGAATAGAATAGAATAGAATAGAATAGAATAGAATAGAATAGAATAGAATAGAATAGAATAGAATAGAATAGAATAGAATAGAATAGAATAGAATAGAATAGAATAGAATAGAATAGAATAGAATAGAATAGAATAGAATAGAATAGAATAGAATAGAATAGAATAGAATAGAATAGAATAGAATAGAATAGAATAGAATAGAATAGAATAGAATAGAATAGAATAGAATAGAATAGAATAGAATAGAATAGAATAGAATAGAATAGAATAGAATAGAATAGAATAGAATAGAATAGAATAGAATAGAATAGGATAGAATAGAATAGATAGATAGAATAGAATAGGATAGAATAGAATAGAATAGGATAGAATAGAATAGATAGAATAGAATAGAATAGAATAGAACAGAACAGAAATAGAACAGAACAGAAATAGAACAGAACAGAAATAGAACAGAACTAGAACAGAACTAGAACAGAACTAGAACAGAACTAGAACAGAACAGAACTAGAACAGAACTAGAACAGAACTAGAACAGAACAGAACTAGAACAGAACTAGAACAGAACTAGAACAGAACTAGAACAGACTAGAACAGAACTAGAACAGAACTAAAGAACAGAACTAGAACAGAACTAGAACAGAACTAGAAACAGAACTAGAAACAGAACTAGAACAGAACTAGAACAGAACTAGAACAGAACTAGAACTAGAACAGAACTAGAAAGAACTAGAACAGAACTAGAACAGAACTAGAACAGAACTAGAACAGAACTAGAACAGAACTAGAACAGAACTAGAACAGAACTAGAACAGAACTAGAACAGAACTAGAACAGAACTAGAACAGAACTAGAACAGAACTAGAACAGAACTAGAACAGAACTAGAACAGAACTAGAACAGAACTAGAACAGAAACTAGAACAGAACTAGAACAGAACTAGAACAGAACTAGAACAGAACTAGAACAGAACTAGAACAGAACTAGAACAGAACTAGACTAGAACAGAACTAGAACAGAACTAGAACAGAACTAGAACAGAACTAGAACAGAACTAGAACAGAACTAGAACAGAACTAGAACAAGAACAGAACTAGAACAGAACTAGAACAGAACTAGAACAGAACTAGAACAGAACTAGAACAGAACTAGAACAGAACTAGAACAGAACTAGAACAGAACTAGAACAGAACTAGAACAGAAACTAGAACAGAACTAGACAACTAGAACGGAACTAGAACAGAACTAGAACAGAACTAGAACAGAACTAGAACAGAACTAGAACAGAACTAGAACAGAACTAGAACAGAACTAGAACAGAACTAGAACAGAACTAGAACAGAACTAGAACAGAACTAGAACAGAACTAGAACAGAACTAGAACAGAACTAGAACAGAACTAGAACAGAACTAGAACAGAACTAGAACAGAACTAGAACAGAACTAGAACAGAACTAGAACAGAACTAGAACAGAACTAGAACAGAACTAGAACAGAACTAGAACAGAACAGAACTAGAACAGAACTAGAACAGAACTAGAACAGAACTAGAACAGAACTAGAACAGAACTAGAACAGAACTAGACAGAACTAGAATAGAACTAGAACAGAATTAGAATAGAACTAGTACTGAACTAGATCGGAACCAGAACCGAACTAGATCTGAAATAGAACTTAACTAAAACTGAACTAGATCTGAAATAGGACTAAACTAAACTGAACTACATCTGAAATATAACTAATAATTTATAAAACTTTATTTTTATATAATTATAATTTTAATAAAATATACATATTTCTCTAGTTTATAATAATAATAATAATATAATTTTTATTCGATGGAAATTTTTATAATTTTGGCCAAATAAAAAAACTTAACGAAAAGTTCTCAGCTGTTACAGATTTCTTACGATTGCATTGTCAAATTTGTCAATGCAAAGATTGCTATAACAGGGAACAGTAAATTTCGTTTATAGTTTTTTTTAACAAATTTTAACTTTATTTAAACTTTTAACTAAACTGACACTCAATACTGCGCATTACTGGCTCACGGCGATAAAATGAAGAAAATTGACGGGAATTAGCCTCCTCGTAAAGATTCTGCAAATAAATAAAGAATAATAAACAACACTGCAAACGTTTATTCCAAAGTAAAACCTACCAAAACTTCCTTCAAAGGCAACAAACTTTCAAATTTAAATTGGCACTTAGCTGATAACTCTTCCTGCTGCCAGAGTTTTCGAAATTGTTCATCATCTTTTTTGGGACAACCCAAGATTTTAATAGTTCTTAGATTCTGATTAATCAAACTTAAATGTTTCATTTGTTCATAGTCCATCAGACGACAATAGTGAAAGGCTAATAATTGCAAATTTTTAAATTTTTCAAAATTTACCGAAATTTTATCAAATATTTCCGAGGACCACTGCCAGGTTTGGCCATTTATGCAGACATTTTCTCTCATTATGGCATAATTCTCGGGAGTCCATTCTTGCAAGGATTCATCTTCTATATAATAACGATCATTCTCAAATTTTATCTGCTGTAATTGTAAAGATTTCGTTGCATGTTGACTTAGTTCAAAGAAAAAGTTTTCCTCGAAATTCAAAGGCATAAAATTAATCCAAAAAAATTGCACAGTTTTTAAATGTGGTAAATTTATAATGGCCTTAAGAAATTTGGCCTCCTGTGTAAAGGCAGACAGTCTTAATATTTCCAAATTTTGCCAGTAATCGCATAATTTCAACATTTGTGGTATATCCTTAAGATACTCACATTCTACTATATTTAAGGTTTTCAAAGGTCTCTTCTGACTAACGGCCAGCAAATGATTAGGATCTAAATTGCGGCAAGATTTCAATTCTAAATTTTCTATATGCTCCAAATCATCTAAATGTTCACCCCACAGCCAACGATTATCACCATCCAATAGTTTTAAGGTCTTTAACTTTTTACAATACATGCCCAATTCCAGCAATGTTTGATCTTGTAGAAATTTTCCTTGTATTTCCAATTCTTCGAGATTCTTGAAATATTTAACATTTTGCATGAAATTATCATTAATAAAAATTTCAAGTTTTCCATAGGATTTGTGCGTACTCCACTCCATTCTATGTGCTTTAGTAAATCCATATTAAAATAGGTACTAAAACGTACCCTTTCCACAGCTTTACCACACAAATAGCAAAATTCGGAGATTTCATAATCTTTCAGTTGAAGTTTGTATTTAAAGGTGAGATAATTGTAATTGAAAAATTTATATTTTCTTTGACAAATCTTGCGTATTATCTGGCGAAAATGTTTACAAACTTTGGCAAGCACTAATTGTTCCTGTAGAGGGCAAGATTCAAAGATACTATACAATATTTCCAAAGGCAATGTGGTAAAGTTAATGGGAGAGAAATCAACTTTATTGTCGGGATTTACTTCCAATTTTTCAAGTTTTGAGCATAAATCTGGACATTCTTGGCAGGAAGAACTGAAATGAGAGAATAATGTTAATGGAACTGAACTAGAATTGAACAACAGAACAGGAACAAAACTAGAACAGAACTAGAATAGAACTTGAACAGAATTAGAACAGAACTAGAACAAAACTAGAACAGAACTAGAACAAAACTAGAACAGAACTAGAATAGAACTTGAACAGAATTAGAACTGAACTAGAACAGAACTAGAACAGCACAGAACTAGAACAGAACTAGAACAGAACAGAACTAGAACAGAACTAGAACAGAACTAGAACAGAACTAGAACAGAACTAGAACAGAACTAGAACAGAACTAGAACAGAACTAGAACAGAACTAGAACAGAACTAGAACAGAACTAGAACAGAACTAGAACAGAACTAGAACAGAACTAGAACAAAGATATAACAGAACTAGAACAGAACTAGCACAGAACTAGAACAGTACTAGAACAGAACTAGAAGAGAACTAGAACAGAACTAGAAATGAACTAGAACAGAACTAGAACAGAACTAGAATGAAACTAGAACAAAACTAGAACAGACCTAGAACAGAACTAGAACAGAACTAGAACAGAACTAGAACAGAACTAGAACAGAACTAGAACAGAACTAGAACAGAACTAGAACAGAACTAGAACAGAACTAGAACAGAACTAGAACAGAACTAGAACAGAACTAGAACAGAACTAGAACAGAACTAGAACAGAACTAGAACAGAACTAGAACAGAACTAGAACAGAACTAGAACAGAACTAGAACAGAACTAGAACAGAACCAGAACAGAACTAAAACAGAACTAGAACAGAACCAAAACAGAACTAGAACAGAACTAGAACAGAACTAGAACAGAACTAGAACAGAACTAGAACATAACTAGAACAGAACTAGAACAGAACTAGAACAGAACTAGAACAGAACTAGAACAGAACTAGAACAGAACTAGAACAGAACTAGAACAGAACTAGAACAGAACTAGAACAGAACTAGAACAGAACTAGAACAGAACTAGAACAGAACTAGAACAGAACTAGAACAGAACTAGAACAGAACTGGAACAGAACTAGAACAGAACTAGAACAGAACTAGAACTAAACTAAACTAGAACAGAACTAGAAACAGAACTAGAACAGAACTAGAACAGAACTAGAACAGAACTAGAACAGAACTAGAACAGAACTAGAACAGAAGTAGAACTGAACTAGAACTGAATTAGAACTGAACTAGAACTGAACTAGAACTGAACAAGAACTGAACTAGAACAAAACCAGAACAGAACTAGAATAGAACTTGAACAGAACTAGAACAGAACTAGAACAGAACTAGAACAGAACTAGAACAGGACTAGAACAGAACTAGAACAGAACTAGAACAGAACTAGAACAGAACTAGAACAGAACTAGAACAGAACTAGAACAGAACTAGAACAGAACTAGAACAGAACTAGAACAGAACTAGAACAGAACTAGAACAGAACTAGAACAGAACTAGAACAGAACTAGAACAGAACTAGAACAGAACTAGAACAAACTAGAACAGAACTAGAACAGAACTAGAAACAGAACCTAGAACAGAACTACACAGAACTAGAACAGAACTAGAACAGAACTAGAACAGAACTAGAACAGAACTAGAACAGAACTAGAACAGAAACTAGAACAGAACTAGAACAGAACTAGAACAGAACTAGAACAGAACTAGAACAGAACTAGAACAGAACTAGAACAGAACTAGAACAGAACTAGAAACAGAACTAGAACAGAACTAGAACAGAACTAGAACAGAACTAGAACAGAACTAGAGCAGAACTAGACCATAATTAGAACAGAACTGGAACAGAACTAGAACAGAACTAGAACTAGAACAGAACTAGAACTGAAATAGAACAGAACTAAAATAACTGTTTTTTTAATTATTTGTATTTCTCTTTTTTAACAAGCAATTTTAAGAGAAACTGGCATTAAATGTAAACAATCACAATTTTAGTTTTACTATTGTGAATGCTTTATTAATGGAAAATTCTAAAAAAGGATAGAAAATTTTATGTGTGTTTGTTTGTGTGTGTATGTATAAAAAATTGTATACAAATAAAAAATCTATACAACAATTTTATTTACATTTTAATTAATAAACATATTTTTTAGCAATAATGTTTTAAAAGATTGAAAATTAATAATGTAGTTTATTACTTACTTATGCTCAGAGTCCAGTTTTAACATTTTCAAGTAATAAGCAGGTAAACTCTTCGATATTTTTTCTGTTGAATAAAGCACAAAGTATTTTTTTACTTTAATAAAAACTTTTTGTTATAAAAATTAAGAATTTTAATAAAACTTACCAATATTTTAAAATTTGTATAATGGTAGTAGAGTATTAACGGAATCTTTTTAAATAACGTTTTATTTATTTAAAAACAAATTTACTTTATCTGTTAAAATAGAAAAAATTGTTGTTAATATTTGTATACCTATACTCAAACAACAAAGATTTCATAATTACAACAGAAAAACAGCTGTAAGTTTTTTTCTAGCTATTTGACAGATGTCAAGTTGACAAGCACCAAGTATTTTGTTTTTAGTGGAACAATGAAAGGAAGCTAGAATCAAGGAATTTTAAGGTGGATTTTATAACATGATTAATAATTGTTTTGCTGAATTACAATTAAAGTAGCTGAATAAGAGAAATTTCTTAACATTTGGTCTGCTGAATTCGATTTTTACTAGCTGAATAGCAAAAAATTCTAATTTAATTCGAAAATATTAAGTTTTTCTTTAGATTTTATTTGATGAATAGAAAATTGTATAGCTGAATAATAATATTTTTATTAAAATTGTATAACTTATTAAAAATTTCAAGATTTCATCAGCTGAATTACACATTTGACAGCTGAATAGGAATTATTTTTAGTTAAACTGAATTGTTGAATTGCTGAATTGTTATTTCTTTAGCTGAATTGTAAAATATGTATTTAAAATTTATTAAAAAGAATATTTGTATATTCTTTTTTTAATTCTTGAGATTTTGTTGGCTGAATACATATTTTAGCAGCTGAATAGCTCATATTTTTAATTTAATGTGAAAAGTACAAATTTAAAACAATTTGTATAGCTGAATTATTATTTTCTCAGCTGAATTGTAAAAAAAAATTATAAAAATTCATTAGTTTCTTAAATATTTTCAAGATTTTGTTAGCTAAATTAAATTGTTGTAATTTTTCAAAATATTGTATAACTGAATAGTAATTTTGATAGCTGAATTCCTTTAAAACTTAATTTTGTACTTCGATTTGTGCAAAATTCTTAAGATTTTGATAGCTGAATTAAATTTTAAGCTACTGAATAGCAGATATTTTTAGCCTAATATAAAAATAACAAATTTATATAATAATTTGTATTGCTGAATTCTTATTTCTTTAGCTGAATAGCAAAAAAATTATGAAATTATATTAAAACTCAACTTCTTCATTAATTTCTTAACAATTCTTATGGTTTTGTTAGCTGTATTCTGTTTCTAAAAAGCTTAATTTTTTTGTTTGTTTTGATAAAATTTCTTAAGATTTTATTAGCTGAATTAACATTTTATCAGCTGAATAGGTAACATTTTTAGTTTTATGTGAAAACTACAAATTTGTGAAACAATTTGTAAAGCTGAATTGTAATTTTGTTAGCTGAATTGTTAAAATATTAAGGAAAATTACTTTTAAACCTTATTTAAGAAGGATTTGTTAAAAATTGTATAGTTGAATTTGGCTGAATTAGATTTTTAACAGCTGAATAGCTAATATTTTCGGTTTGATTTGAAAATAACAAATGTTGCTGGGAATTCGTGTTGCTGAATTGTTATTTCTCCAGCGGAATTGCAAAAAATGTTTTGAAAATTCTTTTAAAACATAATATATTCATTAATTGCTTTAAAATTCTAATGATTTTGGTAGCTGAATAGTATGTTTAGCAGCTGAATAAATGAATTGTGAAAATTTTTTGGAAAATTATTAGTTGAATTTTAATTTTCTTAGCTGAATTCCTTAAAAACATAATTATTTCATTGATTTTTTAAAATTTTGTTAGCTGAATTCGGTTTTTAGCAGTTTTTTTGAAAATATTGTATATTTTATAATTAAAATGTACCTCTTGTGTAGAGAAAACTTGAAACCAAACTAAAAGATTTTGAAGAATATATTTATTGTCTTAATGGTTTAATATAAAATGATTGAGGTTTTTTTATAAATACTCAACATCTTGATAAAGTTTATTTTTGAAAAAATAACCACAAATTCAAACTGCAGCATTGCAGTTTAATACATAAATAAGTAAAACAACACTTTCTAATTTTTTATTAAACTACTTTATTTACACGCTAAATTCTCAGAAAAAGATAAACATTCAAAAAAGGAAACTTACAAAAAAACAATCTATTTCAATAATCTACTTAAAATTAACCTTTTTCAGTTTCAACGACTTAATAGGTCTTATCAATTTCTTGCGTTCCTCACGATGTTGTTTCATTTGATATTCACGTTTACGCATTTCTTTCGAGGGTGGTTTCTTCATATCAAATGTCATTTGTCGATTACCCAGTGAGCGTCCTATAGTTTGTACTTTAGCATTAGTTTCCTCTACCTTGGCGACACGATCTTGTAGGGAAACCTTCATCATGCCTCTTTTAACTTGACTCATTTCGGTGGTTGAATCTAATGAAATTAATTTGAAATCTTTTTTAGGTTTTTCTTTTATTTCTGTACGTTCCTCCTCTTCTAGTTCTTGTAATTCTTCCTTTCTTTGTTTTTTAACATCCTTGTAGGCTCTCTTCATTTCTTTATTAAATTCACGTACACCCTCATCGTCGGAGGATTCAGGGCCAGAGGAATTGTGCTCATCATCATCGCTCTTCTCTAAACCAAACAAATCCTCATCATTATCACTGTCCTCATGTGGTTTACTCTCTTCTTCGTGTAGTTCATTGACTCGTGCCACCTCTATGCGTTTCTTAATTTCTTTAAGTTTGGATTTTTCCAAACGATTTAGCACAGGAGCCAATAGCTTATATTCCTCGGCATTTTTATCAATATTGAAATCTTTATTTTCAAACATGGCCTTGAAACGATTGTCCTCCAAGAGATTGGGTACTTGTTTGTTACTTGATTTGGCGGCGGGATTGGTTTGTTCATCAATAATTTTAAGAGCCAATTCTTGATTAACTTTAGGCAATTTGGTGTTAAGTTGCAAGCGGGGCTTGCGTTCACTTTCGATTTCTGCGCGAATTTTCTCTTTGCGGAAACGTTCAAAGGCAAAGGGATCCACCAAAGCTTTGGCTTTGTTATACAAACGGGCATCAATAAAGAATCTGGAGAAAAATCGAATATGTTAAAAGATTTTTCATAAATTGATTGCTTAACAAGAACTAGAACAGTTCTAGTCTAGTTATAAATAAATTCTAGTTGTTCCAGTTCAGTTTTAGTTTAGTTCTAGTTCAGTTCTAGTTCTAGTTCAGTTCTAGTTCAGTTCTAGATCAGTTCTAGTTCAGTTCTAGTTCAGTTCTAGTTCAGTTCTAGTTCAGTTCTAATTCAGTTCTAATTCAGTTCTAGTTCAGTTCTAGTTCAGTTCTAGTTCAGTTCTAGTTCAGTTCTAGTTCAGTTCTAGTTCAGTTCTAGTTCAGTTCTAGTTCAGTTCTAATTCAGTTCTAGTTCAGTTCTAGTTCAGTTCTAGTTCAGTTCTAGTTCAGTTCTAGTTCAGTTCTAGTTCAGTTCTAGTTCAGTTCTAGTTCAGTTCTAGTTCAGTTCTAGTTCAGTTCTAGTTCAGTTCTAGTTCAGTTCTAGTTCAGTTCTAGTTCAGTTCTAGTTCAGTTCTAGTTCAGTTCTAGTTCAGTTCTAGTTCAGTTCTAGTTCAGTTCTAGTTCAGTTCTAGTTCAGTTCTAGTTCAGTTCTAGTTCAGTTCTAGTTCAGTTCTAGTTCAGTTCTAGTTCAGTTCTAGTTCAGTTCTAGTTCAGTTCTAGTTCAGTTGTAGTTCAGTTCTAGTTCAGTTGTAGTTCAGTTGTAGTTCAGTTCTAGTTCAGTTCTAATTCAGTTCTAGTTCTGTTCTAGTTCAGTTCTTGTTCAGTTCTAGTTCAGTTCTAGTTCAGTTCTAGTTCAGTTCTAGTTCAGTTCTAGTTCAGTTCTAGTTCAGTTCTAGTTCAGTTCTAGTTCAGTTCTAGTTCAGTTCTAGTTCAGTTCTAGTTCAGTTCTAGTTCAGTTCTAGTTCAGTTCTAGTTCAGTTCTAGTTCAGTTCTAGTTCAGTTCTAGTTCAGTTCTAGTTCAGTTCTAGTTCAGTTCTAGTTCAGTTCTAGTTCAGTTCTAGTTCAGTTCTAGTTCAGTTCTAGTTCAGTTTTAGTTCAGTTCTAGTTCAGTTCTAGTTCAATTCTAATTTAGTTCTAGTTCAGTTTTACCTCAGTTCGGTTAAAGTTATTGCTTTAACTTACCCATGCATGTATGCCTTTAATAAATTGCTGCCTATCAAATGCTCCAGACCCAATTCTTCCAATTCCTTTTGTGTAACAAATTGATAATCATCATACATATGTTCCACCACCTCCGATTCAATCTCCTCGGTAAGATTGTCCAAGAATGAACACCATCTAGGGGCAGGACCCATAGCTGGAACATAGTAGGTCAACATTTTAACATCCTCCTGGGCCATAAAGAACATTCCCGTATTGGGTATAGTGCAGAAGTCATTAAACGAAGAGGTGGACTCAATATAAGCAATTTGTTTGCCCTAGAAGGAAAAAATAATTAAAACTTTTATAAATCTAAAAATAGCTTTAAATATACCGTTTGCTCATCCCACAGCTTCAACATGGCCTCATCCATGGAGTAAACAGCATTTTGTTGGTTATTAAAAGCTATACGCTTAACGGGTAATTTATTTAAATGATCCTTTACTAGCAAAGGCTCCTTTGAACGTATATCGTAGAGTAAAACATGACCCGAATTGGTGCCTACAGCCATATGTAAACCATCTTTACATTTCAAAGCCGATATAGAAGGAAACTCTTTAACACCGGGTAATTTTATGGCCACATCCAAAGTAGCACATTTTGTTTTTGATCTAGGATCCCAGGCTTCTACAGTGCCCTCTTTGGAGCCCACCATTAACAAACCATGTTCTGGATTTACCTCACAAGCATTAAGACAAGAGGCCTCCGATTCGTAAGGTTGCAAAAATTGTCCTCTTTCCAAATTTAAACGATAAATTTCCTGGAATTTTTGATTTTTATGAATAAAAACAATTTTTTTAATATTTTTCTTTAAATACTTTAGTAGTGCCCACTATAAACATATCACAGGAAGGTTTATGATATTTCATATCTCTACCAAAACGCGGTATTCTCAAACGATAATGTCTGCCATGGGCGGCATGTATTTCCACATAACGATCACATTGCAGGAAAACCATTTTACTATAATCATCACTTATTACCTCAAAAGTGGTAACCTCCGAATCAAAACATCTTTCAAATTTAATAGATAAATTGGAAACCTCAAAACATTTGACCCGCGGTTTATAGGTACCCGTAGCCAAGATGTACTGCATATCGGGAGACATGCGTATGGAGGTACATACACCCGGCATATCAAAATCTTGTATTAATTCTATTTGTCTTCGAGAATCAACCTTTTTCATTAACTGAGACTTTTTGCGGCGATCGGTAAGCCACTGAAAAAGGAGAAAAATTAAAAAATAAAGCAACTCCCTTAAAATTTTTTTCATTTACAATAAACTTACATCTGGCAAAGATTTGCCCGCACTCAGGTTATATATTTTAACTTCATTTACTTCGTTAACAAACATTTTAACATAATTTTTAATAAAATTATTAAAAAATTAAAGATTTATTAATTAAATTAATTAATAAAAATTTCAGTTAATTCCCCTAGAAAAAACGTAAACACTACTTTGCACGTGTGAGTAGAGAGTGAGAGAAAACTGTCATAACAAAACACTATTGTGAATGATGTTTTATTTGTTAAAAGAAAAACAACACTATGGTGAATACTTAAAAATAATCATGTTATCGTTTATCGTTAATGACATTAATTGACAGCTCTCTGAGTTGCAAAAAAATAACAACCATATACAAGAAAAAAACACACACAGAAAAATTCAGAAGTTAAAGGAAAAAAATTGTGAAAAATTGCTTAAAACTCAACAAAAAATTAATAAAAATTTAAAAAATCTAAAGAAAACACATAAAGGTGTAAAAAAATACACAAATTTGTGTAAAAAACTAAAAAGTTTTATAAATTTTCCAGCATTTTGGCAGAAATTAACACGTAATTTAACTTTACTTTTGTATATATTGTATGCACTATAAGTGAGTGTATATTTTTTTTTCTACAACAATAAAAAAGTGAAAACGCAAATTATCGGGAATAAAACAACTCAAAAAAATCCCACAATTCAATTAAAACAAGAATAATTATTTGCAATTATATTTTTTAGTAGTTTTTCAAGTATTAGTAACAAAAACAAAACTAATCCATCACTACTTGTGAACAAAAATCATTATTTTGTTATCAGCTTTATAATTTCAATAATTAATAATATTTTGTAGAATTTTCTTTTAAGAAATTGTTTAAAATCTAAGGTACGTATAATATTTTAGGATTTTTTTGTTCAATGAATCATAGCAGAAATTGCTTTTGTTTGTTTTTGTTGTCTTTATTATAAGATCTTGGCTTGAGCTATTATTAAAACTAAAATAAAAAACAACAACAACAACAAGTTATAAAAGTGATAAAAAGTAGCCATGAGAGGAAATAGTTCAGTTAAATTTCTCCTTATATTTATTGTTTTGTTCACCCGACAACACCCCCTTTTTGTTGTTGTTTTCAGTCAATAATACAAAAAAAATGTCACATACAGTACTTGTCAATAGTTAAACATCACTTATGATACATATAAAATTAGAGATGACACTTTTGTTGATAAAATCGATATGTAAACAAAGCCTGGAAATTTGTTTAAGGGCATATTTTTCGCAAAATAAGAAACATTTTATTTTATTTATTTATTTTTATTTATTTATTTCATCAATCAATACATAGGAAGCCTATAAGGCCAATTATACATGTATTGTTAGTTTAATATCCATGTTAATACAAAATTATTATAATTATATAAACTTAAAAATACTTTAAATTAAAAATATAAAATGTATAAGAACTAAATTTATACATAAAATGGTCCCCCAACCACGCAAATATTAATAAAAAAAACAAATTTATATGTCCTAAATTTTACCAAAGATCAATCAACACCTTAGAATTCATTATTTTCAGAAAGCCAGTCTAAAAGTATTTTTCTATATTTGAGGAAGGAATATGAAAATAATCTAAGAGAACTAGGCAAACAATTCCAAATACGACAAATCCGAATTTTATATGAGCGTTCAAAAATCGAAAGATAAATTCGTGGTATCTCAATTTGTATACTACGGGTGGATTGATTAAAAATAAACTCATCAACGAGAAAATGAGGCTGTCTTGATTTCATAATTCTATAAAAATGTAGTAACAGACGCAAACGTAAGTAATTATGAAAACTACAGCCTAAAAGGTCAGGTATCAGTTCGGACACTCGATCATGATCATGTATGCGAACATTGAAAATGTAACGAATAATCTTCCTGACGACTCTCTCAAGATAGTCCAAATTAGTGGATAAAGACCCGGAATAAACTTCCAAACAATAATTAACTTTTGACAATAGTAAAGCATGAGTCAAGCGAAGTCTAATATATCTAGGAATATAAGATCTTAATGCATATAATCTTCTCAAAATGTAAGAAATTTGATTGGATAGAGAATTAATGTGATTTTCAAAATTTAAATTAGAATCAATAGTAATGCCAAGACAATTTAATGACTCAACAAAGTTAATTGATTGGTTTTCAATGAAAATTCTCGGGTAAGTAAAATTTTGGGTTGGTAAATGAAAATACATTGCCCTAGTTTTGGATGGATTTATTTTCAAATAATTTAGGTGCATCCAATTAAGAATAGCCGCAATATGATTATTTAACTGAATATCACACATAGTATTATTGCTATAATCATAATTATAAATTAGAAAAATATCATCGGCAAAAACATACGGTTTACAAAAATTGTTCTCCATGATAGGGATACAATCATTTAAATAAGCAAGAAAGAGTATGGGACCCAATACGGACCCTTGTGGGACACCTGAGGTAACGGCTCCAATACTAGAACTTAATCCACCGTAAGATACATATTGAGAACGATCACTTAAATATGAATATATTAATTTACATGCAGATTTGGAAAAATTAAATTTTTGATGCAGTTTTTTAATAAGAATATTATAATTTACACGATCAAACGCTTTAGAAAGGTCGAGTGAGAGTAAAACGCTATTTTTACGTTTGTTTAGTCGTTTTCTAATGAAATCCGTAAGGGAAATTAGTAAAGAAGATGTGTTATGATAACGTCGAAAGGCATATTGATTGGGTCGAAAAAGCGAGAAACGTTCACAATGAGATAAAATTTGAGCTTTCATGAGGTTTTCAACAATTTTTGACATTGCAGGTAAGATGCATATTGGTCGTAAATTGCTAATATTGAAGTTACCTTTCTTAGCAATGGGAACTATTCGACCTAGTTTCCATGCAACTGGAAACCATGAAGATATTATTTATAATATGATGGAGTAGCCTCGAAATCAACGGGAATATAATTTTTAAAAATTTAATTGGAATGCCATCATAGCCAGTAGCATTAGACTTGATCGTGCTAATCGCAAGAAAAACATCATATTCTGAAACTGAACTAAAATGAAAACAATTAGTGCCATCAATAAAGTTTTGAAAGTCATAATTTCCCATATTATTTGGGCAAAGGTTGTCCAAAAATCCAGTTGCAATGGATTCTAAATCTACCTCATTAAGTTCAGGACTTTCACAACCAATACAACCTAGTTTACGTAGATTACTCCATATTTGCCTATTATCTACATTAGTAAACAAATTCCTGCCATAATTTCTACGTATTCTTCGAATAATAGATTTAGTTTTATTGCGAAGTTTACAAAAATTTTTCCAATTTTGCTCATTTGGATGCATTAGGAAAGTTCTATATGCCGTATCACGTAATGATCTAGCATTAACAATTTCGGTGGACCTCATCCATCCAATATCAACAGATTTATGTCTACTGCTAAAATTTGGAACTAAACTGTGTAAACCATTTACCAAACTATTTAACGTAGAGAGTTGTAAATCAACATCGTTTGTATTAAATATTGGTGTTATGTCGAATTGTTCCACATATTGACTTAGAACCTCATAATTTATACGTTTATACTGTTTGAATTCAATTCTATTCCTTTCTGTGCTAGTTGAGCATGTTAGAGAAATGAATATAAGACTGTGGTGTGAGGAAAAAAAGGGGAAAATCATCTGTCCTTTATGAGATACTAATTGTGGCTGGCTGAGCATAAAAAAATCAATTAAAGAAGTACTATTATTACGTATACATAAATGTGTAGGTAAACAATTATGTACACATTCAAGACCGGATCTGTAACATACAGAACGAATTCTCGACGACATCGAAATATCGAAAAGATTACAGTTGAAATCACCCATGGTAATCGTATTTGGAAACCGATCAAATAAATCCCCATGCAACTCCTCGAATACACCAATATTTCCAGTAGGCAAATACACCACCCCAACTACAGCTGAGACACCATTAGTAAAAACTTCAATAAATAATGACTCGCAGACTCTGAAACTTTCACTACGAAATAAAATTCTATAATGTAATTTTGTTGAAACATACAAGCAGACACCTCCAGCACGGAATTCATTAGGACGATCATTACGGACGAGATTATAACCTGGAACAGTCAAGGTTGAAGATAGGATGTCAGATTTAAACCAAGATTCAGATATTCCTATTATATCAAGACAGGAGTGTTGGAAAATACTTTTGAATTCTTCCATTTTAGTACTGGAGACTGATGGATTTAAACTTTGCGCATTTACGTGACCAATATTTAAATTTCCAGGAAAAACAGAAAGACTAGATTTCAAATGTGATAAATCTCTGGCAATAGGACCAAGGTTATGGGACATCAAGGTGTATATAATATTTGGGGTTAAAGGGGAACAAATTATGTATAAATCAGTCAAACATTTTAAAAAATTATTGGGAAAATGAAGAAATGAGAAATATAAAAAAAATATTCAATTTTCAAAAAACTATCCAATTATTGAAAAATAAAAAATTGACAAAAATATATGTATATAACCTCCATTAACAATGACGGCCCAACCCAAAAATAGCTCCAACTATAGTTATAAATTTAAAAATTAATGAGTTAAAAAAAAAAATACAAGTTAGTGGTCCTACAGGATTTAATTAATAAATTTTGAAATATAAGGGCTATAGTTAGAACTAACTCAAAGCAGGGTTTCCATTGTTAATGGAGAAAAGAGGTAATTTATAGCAAAAAAACAAAAATAAAGTAATTAAATGGCACAAACAAAATTTGATTTCTTAATATAAAAAAGAGGAAAAGAGAGAAAAAAAAAAAATATAATAAAAAAGTTTAATATTGTATTAAAATAAAATATAATATTTAAATTTCTACTTTAAAAAATTCTATGCATTCATTAAATGTCACAGTCCTGATATCACCATTTGGCATTGTTAATTTAGCTTTCAGTAATTCACGATTAATTATACTGTAGTGAGTTATTCTGTTGTCTTTTGCAAGCTTCCAGCAAATCCTTAGAAATTTTTGCGCCAAAGAAGAGTAATTGTCGTTTAAATAGACTCTGGTACAGATATTTCCTCCTTCGACATGAGAACGATTTAATGATTTTTCTTGGAAGTATTGGGACATTATTTTATCGCGTGTAGAAATTCTGCCAAACTTTACAAGAACAGCATTCCTTTTTCTTATATAAACAACATTTAAGATATCATCAGGCATTATATCCACTTTCAAATACGAGCATAGAGATTTAACAGTTTCAGTAAGATTTTGAAGATCATTTGAAAGGCCAGTTATTATAATGTCCGACCTGTTTAATCGTGACTGAAATACATGGTTTTGTAACTCCAACTCATTGAACTTTTTTCTCATCATTTTATCGTTCAAATTTACAAGTTGTTTGCAATCTTTAACTTCATCTTTGATTTCATCCATCCTAGTTGAAATTTCCTTCCGTATTTCACTAACCACTGTCTCAAACTTCATATTGATTTCTGCTTGATCTTTTTTCATATCAATTTCATGTAATCTAAGTGATTTTTTAAAAGCAGCAAATTCTTTGCGAATTTCTTCTTTGAAAAGATTATCATTATCAGGATCAGGTGGATTTTCTGTGCATTCTTTGCATGTGTATAGTAGGTTTCGATTTTTGTCTAATGTAGAAAAAACATCCTTAGAGACTCCTTCACAGTCAACATGGAACCATGTATTGCATGTCCTACATAAGAGACTTCGTTTACGACCGGTACCAACATCAATATTACAAACACCGCAAATAGATGACATATTTAATATAAATTTCGGGATAATAAAAATTATTTTTGACTCCAATTACAAGTATTATTTAGCGGTACTATATTATGTAACTTGATATATTTATTTAATGTGCAATTTACAAATATTTGCACATGTAATTTTAATGTGCAAGACAAAGATCGCAATAACAAAGGATGTAGATTTAATGCAACAAAAAGAGATGAAATATTGGATGATGAAATCACGTTGTAATGATGACAATATATACGTTTTTATTCATACAATTTAATGTATAACATGATATTTCAATAAAATTTTATTGTTGATTAATTTTTTTCAGCTTAGAACATTTATTTTATATTTTGCACACTTTTAAGATAATTAATTTTATTTTTCAAACAAGAGGATCAATTTTTACATCTACCACAACATGGCGTTACCAGACTTAATTCAAAAATTTTATTTTCAAAAACTTTCAAAAATTTTATTCATTTTAATTGTTTCGGAATTGATTGAAAGTTTTTACTAAGAAAAACATGACATTTTCTAGATAGCTTTTCCTATTAAAAGTTGAAACCAAATTATATTTTTAAAGAACTTTGTTAAAATTTCATTAAATTATTAAAAGTTTGCTTAATTTATTGCTTAATTTCATTGAAATTCTTTCACAAAGGAATCTTAATATCAACATAATTTGCAGCTGTAATAACAAAAGACATAAACGTTTGTACGTGCTTCATATTAAAAGTCGGTCATTGTTCGCGCATCTATAATTTTATAAATTTTCAATAAAATCTATATAAAAAAATTATATTCTTATCAGTTAATGTACAAATGCCTAAAAAAGAGTCATTAGCTTCACACAAAAAGACACAAAATAATAAAGCAAAGAAATTACAAAATAATAAATACCTATAATAATATTTAAAATCAGATTCTGAAGTCATTTGTTATATTCAGTTCTAGTTCAGTTCTAGTTCTGTTGTAGTTCAGTTCTAGTTCAGTTTTAGTTCAGTTCAGTTCAGTTCTAGTTCAGTTCTAGTTCAGTTAGTTCAGTTATAGTTCAGTTCTAGTTCAGTTCTAGTTCAGTTCTAGTTCAGTCTAGTTCAGTTCTAGTTCAGTTCTAGTTCAGTTCTAGTTCAGTTCTAGTTCAGTTCTAGTTCATTTCTAGTTCAGTTCTAGTTCAGTTCTAGTTCAGTTTCTTTCTTAGTTCAGTTCTAGTTCAGTTTTCTAGTTCAGTTCTAGTTTCAGTTCTAGTTAGAGTTCAGTTCTAGTTCAGTTCTAGTTCAGTTCTAGTTCAGTTCTAGTTCAGTTCTAGTTCAGTTCTAGTTCAGTTCTAGTTCAGTTCTAGTTCAGTTCTAGTTCAGTTCTAGTTCAGTTCTAGTTCAGTTCAGTTCTAGTTCAGTTCTAGTTCAGTTCTAGTTCAGTTCTAGTTCAGTTCTAGTTCAGTTCTAGTTCAGTTCTAGTTCAGTTCTAGTTCAGTTCTAGTTCAGTTCTAGTTCAGTTCTAGTTCAGTTCTAGTTCAGTTCTAGTTCAGTTCTAGTTCAGTTCTAGTTCAGTTCTAGTTCAGTTCTAGTTCAGTTCTAGTTCAGTTCTAGTTCAGTTCTAGTTCAGTTCTAGTAGTTCAGTTCTAGTTCAGTTCTAGTTCAGTTCTAATTCAGTTCTAGTTCAGTTCAAGTTCAGTTCTAGTTCAGTTCTAGTTCAGTTCTAGTTCAGTTCTAGTTCAGTTCTAGTTCAGTTCTAGTTCAGTTCTAGTTCAGTTCTAGTTCAGTTCTAGTTCAGTTCGAGTTCAGTTCGAGTTCAGTTCGAGTTCAGTTCGAGTTCAGTTCTAGTTCAGTTCTAGTTCGAGTTCAGTTCGAGTTCAGTTCGAGTTCAGTTCTAGTTCAGTTCTAGTTCAGTTCTAGTTCAGTTCTAGTTCAGTTCTAGTTCAGTTCTAGTTCAGTTCTAGATCAGTTCTAGTTCAGTTCTAGTTCAGTTCTAGTTCAGTTCTAGTTCAGTTCTAGTTGAGTTCTAGTTCAGTTCAGTTCAGTTCTAGTTCAGTTCTAGTTCAGTTCTAGTTCAGTTCAAGTTCAGTTCTAGTTCAGTTCAAGTTCAGTTCTAGTTCAGTTCTAGTTCAGTTCTAGGTCAGTTCTAGTTCAGTTCTAGTTCAGTTCTAGTTCAGTTCTAGTTCAGTTCTAGTTCAGTTCTAGTTCAGTTCTAGTTCAGTTCTAGTTCAGTTCTAGTTCAGTTCTAGTTCAGTTCTAGTTCAGTTCTAGTTCAGTTCTAGTTCAGTTCTAGTTCATTTCTAGTTCAGTTCTAGTTCAGTTCTAGTTCAGTTCTAGTTCAGTTCTAGTTCAGTTCTAGTTCAGTTTCTAGTTCAGTTCTAGTTCAGTTCTAGTTCAGTTCTAGTTCAGTTCTAGTTCAGTTCTAGTTCAGTTCTAGTTCAGTTCTAGTTCAGTTCTAGTTCAGTTCTAGTTCAGTTCTAGTTCAGTTCTAGTTCAGTTCTAGTTCAGTTCTAGTTCAGTTCTAGTTCAGTTCTAGTTCAGTTCTAGTTCAGTTCTAGTTCAGTTCTAGTTCTGTTCTAGTTCAGTTCTAGTTCAGTTCTAGTTCAGTTCTAGTTCAGTTCTAGTTCAGTTCTAGTTTAATTCTAGTTCACTTCTAGTTTAGCTCTAGTTCTAGTTCAGTTCTAACTATTTAATAATATAAAATAACCCCAATAATTTAACGTTTTAATAACTTACTCATCACTCAAATTTTTAACAATTCCCCACAGTAAAATGCTCTTATTGCTTTTATTTTTACGCAAAAAAATTTAAACAAAAATGAAACAACAGTTTTATATTTTCATTAAAATACTACATCTCTTAAATAAACAAAGTCCGCAGCACTTTTTAAACTAAAACAAAAAGTGAACTAAAAGAAAGCAACAGTTACACTTCCCCATACTCTACTATTAAGCACCTGTCTAAATTAAATATATTTTTTTTATATATAAAAAACTACACGTCTTGAATTTAATTTTAATTTTAACTGATAATTCAAAACCTAAATGCAAATTACAACTATTTTGTTTTTTATATCACAAAACTCCACTTTAAGATATCACGAAAAAGTTTTACATAATTTTATTTAATTTGTTTATGAGCAAACAGTGAAATTTTTAATTTGTGTACGAAATGTTGTCAAAAGTTAAAAGAAAAATGTCCACAAATAGTTTAGTTATTTTTAATAAATTTTATAATGGTCTTGATATGGCTTATGAAAAATGTATAATAATTGAAATTCTAATATGATTCGCATTTAATTTATAGTAATTTATTATATTTAAAATTTTTTCCAGATCCCACAATGTCTTCGGCGCCATATAACTACAATTACATATTCAAATACATCATAATTGGTGATATGGGTGTGGGAAAATCATGTATTTTGCATCAATTTACGGAAAAGAAATGTAAGTATTTAATTTTTTAAAAAAATATAACAAGAAAGATATTTAATGAAAGATGAGGTGATCATTCTTATTAGTAATACTTTTATATAAATATCAATTTAATGTTGAAACTATTAGCTGACATATTTTTTTATTAAGTTTAAATAGAACTGTTTGCTTTATAAGTGTAAATATTAAGTGAAAATAGTTCTATTGTTTTAAACAAAGCTCATAAGATGATTACAGAACAAATTTCAATAAAAATAGTTCTTAACTAAATAAGTTGTCTGAAAAATGTAAACAATTTAAGACAATTATGAAGTTAAAGTTAGATTAGTTTTAGTAAAGTTCTAGTTCACTCATTTCAAGTTCTATTCTAATTCTGTTCTAGTTCTAATTCTATTCTAGTTCTAGTTCTGTTCTAGTTCTGTTATAGTTTTGTTCTAGTTCTGTTCTAGTTCTGTTCTAGTTCTGTTCTAGTTCTGTTCTAGTTCTGTTCTAGTTCTGTTCTAGTTCTGTTCTTGTTCTGTTCTAGTTCTGTTCTAGTTCTGTTCTAGTTCTGTTCTAGTTCTGTTCTAGTTCTGTTCTAGTTCTGTTCTAGTAATGTTCTACTTCTGTTCTAGTTCTGTTCTAGTTCTATTCTAGTTCTGTTCTAGTTCTGTTCTAGTTCTGTTCTAGTTCTGTTCTAGTTCTGTTCTAGTTCTGTTCTAGTTCTGTTCTAGTTCTGTTCTAGTTCTGTTCTAGTTCTGTTCTAGTTCTGTTCTAGTTCTGTTCTAGTTCTGTTCTACTTCTGTTCTAGTTCTGTTCTAGTTCTGTTCTAGTTCTGTTCTAGTTCTGTTCTAGTAATGTTCTACTTCTGTTCTAGTTCTGTTCTAGTTCTGTTCTAGTTCTGTTCTAGTAATGTTCTACTTCTGTTCTAGTTCTGTTCTAGTTATGTTCTAGTTCTGTTCTAGTTCTGTTCTAGTTCTGTTCTAGTTCTATTCTAGTTCTTTTATAGTTTTGTTCTAGTTCTGTTCTAGTTCTGTTCTAGTTCTGTTCTAGTTCTGTTCTAGTTCCGTTCTAGTTCTGTTCTAGTTCCGTTCTAGTTCTGTTCTAGTTCTAGTTCTGTTCTAGTTCTGTTCTAGTTCTGTTCTAGTTCTGTTCTAGTTCTGTTCTAGTTCTGTTCTAGTTCTGTTCTAGTTCTGTTCTAGTTCTATTCTAGTTCTGTTCTAGTTCTGTTCTAGTTCTGTTCTAGTTCTGTTCTAGTTCTGTTCTAGTTCTGTTCTAGTTCTGTTCTAGTACTGCTCCAGTTCTGCTCTAGTTCTGTTCTAGTTATGTTCTAGTTCTGTTCTAGTTCTGTTCTAGTTCTGTTCTAGTTCTGTTCTAGTTCTGTTCTAGTTCTGTTCTAGTTCTGTTCTCTTCTAGTTCTGTTCTAGTTGTGTTCTAGTTCTGTTCTAATTCTAGTTCTGTTCTAGTTCTATTCTAGTTCTATTCTAGTTCTGTTCTAGTTCTGTTCTAGTTCTGTTCTAGTTCTGTTCTAGTGTTCTAGTTCTGTTCTAGTTCTGTTCTAGTTCTGTTCTAGTTCTGTTCTAGTTCTGTTCTAGTTCTGTTCTAGTTCTGTTCTAGTTCTGTTCTAGTTCTGTTCTAGTTCTGTTCTAGTTCTGTTCTAGTTCTGTTCTAGTTCTGTTCTAGTTCTGTTCTAGTTCTGTTCTAGTTCTGTTCTAGTTCTGTTCTAGTTCTGTTCTAGTTCTGTTCTAGTTCTGTTCTAGTTCTGTTCTAGTTCTGTTCTAGTTCTGTTCTAGTTCTGTTCTAGTTCTGTTCTAGTTCTGTTCTAGTTCTGTTCTAGTTTTGTTCTAGTTCTGTTCTAGTTCTGTTCTAGTTCTAGTTCTGTTCTAGTTCTGTTCTAGTTCTGGTCTAGTTCTGTTCTAGTTCTGTTCTAGTTCTGTTCAAGTTCTGTTCTAGTTCTGTTCTAGTTATGTTCTAGTTCTGTTCTAGTTCTGTTCTAGTTCTAGTTCTGTTCTAGTTCTAGTTCTGTTCTAATTCTAGTTATAGTTCTGTTCTAGTTCTGTTCTAGTTCTGTTCTAGTTCTGTTCTAGTTCTGTTCTAGTTCTGTTCTAGTTCTGTTCTAGTTCTGTTCTAGTTCTGTTCTAGTTCTGTTCTAGTTCTGTTCTAGTTCTGTTCTAGTTCTGTTCTAGTTCTGTTCTAGTTCTGTTCTAGTTCTGTTCTAGTTCTGTTCTAGTTCTGTTCTAGTTCTGTTCTAGTTCTGTTCTAGTTCTGTTCTAGTTCTGTTCTAGTTCTGTTCTAGTTCTGTTCTAGTTCTGTTCTAGTTCTGTTCTAGTTCTGTTCTAGTTCTGTTCTAGTTCTGTTCTAGTTCTGTTCTAGTTCTGTTCTAGTTCTGTTCTAGTTCTGTTCTAGTTCTGTTCTAGTTCTGTTCTAGTTCTGTTCTAGTTCTGTTCTAGTTCTGTTCTAGTTCTGTTCTAGTTCTGTTCTAGTTCTGTTCTAGTTCTGTTCTAGTTCTCTTCTAGTTCTGTTCTAGTTCGGTTCTGTTCTAGTTCTAGTTCTGATCTAGTTCTGTTCTAGTTCTGTTCTAGTTCTGTTCTAGTTTTGTTCTAGTTCTCTTCTAGTTCTGTTCTAGTTTTGTTCTAGTTCTGTTCTAGTTCTGTTCTAGTTCTGTTCTAGTTCAATTTTAGTTTAGTTTAAGTACAAGCCAGTTTTAACATTAATCAAACCCCTTTCTGTTTTCTCTAGTTATGGCCAATTGTCCTCATACCATTGGTGTTGAATTTGGTACACGCATTATTGAGGTCGATGATAAGAAAATAAAATTACAAATCTGGGATACCGCCGGTCAAGAACGTTTTAGGGCTGTGACTCGCTCTTACTATAGAGGTGCTGCTGGTGCTCTTATGGTCTACGACATAACCAGACGATCAACATACAATCATCTTAGCAGCTGGCTAACGGACACACGCAACTTAACCAATCCGAATACTGTGATTTTCTTAATTGGTAATAAATCAGATTTGGAAAGTACACGAGAGGTGACCTACGAGGAGGCTGAAGAATTTGCCAAAGAAAATGGTTTAATGTTTTTGGAAGCTAGTGCCATGACGTGAGTAGAAATGTTATACTTATAATAGATGTTATTGATATTTTAAAATTGAACTTTTAGAGGGCAAAATGTGGAGGAAGCCTTTTTAGAAACTGCTCGTAAAATCTATCAGAATATTCAGGAGGGTCGTTTGGATCTCAATGCTTCGGAATCGGGTGTACAGCATCGTCCCTCTCAACCCGGACGGACCTCATTAACAAATGAGACACCCAACAATAAAGATCAGTGCTCATGTTAAACATGTGTTTATATATATATTTTTAATAATTGTTTTTTTTTTTTCTTTAAACAACATTTATTATTATATATATATATTTTTTTTTAATTATTTACTAAACATTTTTTGTAAATTATGTTTCTTTTATATTTTTCTCACACTCTTTATTAGCTTACCCTTCTTTTTTCCCTTCTACCCCTGAACTTACTTTCTACGATTATATTTGTATTGAACAAAATAGCTGTTTATTATTAAATTATATTAAAATAAGTATAAAATTTATAATGAATAATAATAAAAAAAAAACATACGTATATTTAAAACAAAAACATAAAAACTAGTACTCGAAACTAAAACAACACTTTTTAGCTAAAACATTTAATTATAAAACAAAAACAGAAAACTTTTTCATACAGAAACATTTCAAATAACAGCAACAACAACACAAACCAAATATCAATATTAATTATAAAAACAATTAAAATTAAAAAAAAAAAAAACTAAGATTTTTAGTAAAAAATTATAACTCTGACAGGTTTAAAGTAGTATTTAAAAAAAATCCCTTAGAGGATTGTTACTACTCTTGTAGGAGCAAGTTTGTATCGAAAGTGCATTTTTTATAAAAAAAAAAAAAAAAATAATAAATATTCCATCTATTTTAGCGACAAAGTATTGAATTAAAAAAAAAAAAAAACATTCAATACTTGTACATTTGTTTTTAATATAATAATAATTGATGGTTTGTTTTCTCTATGTTTGAAAAGTGTTTTTTAAAATTTTGGTTTTGATGAATATTTTTAACAAAAAAATAACAAATTAAAAGAACTGTATGGAATAAATGTTGAAATAAAACAAAATTAATGGTAGTTATAGAAAAAAATTCAAAATGTTTTTGTACTAAAGGAGTAAAATTTGTATAAAATACAAGTAGAACTAAACTAGAACTAAAACTGAATTGCATTGAACTAAAACTAAACTAGAACTGAATCTAAACGCAACTATAAATGAACTAGAACAAAACAAGTACTGTTTTAAATATGATCTAGAACTGGTTTGGATTTAACTAGAACTAATTTGGACTGAACTAGAACTGAATTAGAACTGAAGTAAAAATGAACTAGAACTGAACTGGAACTCAAGTAGAACTAAACAAGAAGTGATCTAGAACTAAACTAGAACTATACTAGAACGGAAGTAGAACTGAGCTAGAATTGAACTAGAACAGAAATAGAACAGAGCTAGAATTAGAACTAGAACCGAACTAGAACTGAAGTAGAACAAAGCTAGAATTGTACTAGAATAGAAGTAGAACTGAACTAGAACTAAACTGAACTAGAACACAACTAGAACTGTACTAGAACTTATCTAGAACTAATCAAGAATTGAACTAGAACTGAAACTGAAGTAGAACAGAACTAGAACTGAACAAGAACTGAACTAGAACTGAACTAGAACTGAACTTGAACTGAACTTGAACTGAACTAGAACTGAACTGAACTAGAATTGGACTAGAACTGAACTAGAACTGAACTAGAACTGAACTAGAACTGAAATAGAACTGAACTAAAACTGAACTAGATCTGAACTAGAACTGAACTAGAACTGAAGTAGAATTGAACTAGAACTGAACTAGAACAGAATTAGAACTGAACTAGAACTCAACTAGAACTGAACTAGAACTGTACTAGAACTGATCTAGAACTGATCAAGAATTGAACTAGAACTGAAACTGAAGTAGAACAGAACTAGAACTGAACTAGACCTGAACTAGAACTGAATTAGAACAGAACTAGATCAGAACTGAACAAGACGTAAATTAGAACTTAATTAGAACTGAACTAGAACTGAACTGCACTAGAACTGAACTAGAACTGAACTAGAACTGAACTAGAACTGAACAAGAACTGAACTAGAACTGAACTAGAACTGAACTAGAACTGAAATAGATCTGAACTAGAACTGAACTAAAACTGAACTAGAACTGAATTAGAACAGAACTAGATCAGAACTGAACAAGACGTAAATTAGAACTGAACTAGAACTGAATTAGAACGGAACTAAAACTGAATTAGAACTGAACTAGAACTGAACTAGAACTGAACTAGAACTGAACTAGAACTGAACTAGAACTGAACTAGAACTGAACTAGAACTGAACTAGAACTGAACCAGAACTGAACTAGAACTGAACTAGAACTGAACTAGAACTGAACTAGAACTGAACTAGAACTGAACTGGAACTGAACTATAACTGAACTAGAACTGAACTAGAACTGAACTAGAACTGAACTAGAACTGAACTAGAACCGAACTAGAACTGAACTAGAACTGAACTAGAACTGAACTAGAACAGAACTAGAACTGAACTTGAACTGAATTAGAGCAGAACTGAACAAGACGTAAACAAGAACTGAACTAGAACTGAATTAGAACTGAACTAGAACTGAACTAGAGCTGAACTAGAACTGAACTAGAACTAGAACTGAACTAGAACTGAACTAGAACTGAACTAAAACTGAACTTGAACTGAACTAAAGCTGATTTTTCCCTTTTAAATTAAACATTTCTTTGTTGTTGTTATCAAAAAATGGAAAGTATACAGTTTTTATTTAGCTGTTTGTGGTTGTCTTAAAAAATATTGCATTAATAATACCATAATACAAAAAGTATTCGTTTTAAAAAAATATATGGTTTTTACAAAAAAAAAAAAAAAAAAAAAAATGGACGTAAATTATAAAAAGCAATAAAAAATTTGTATTATAAATAGTCTTTTTTTTTGCAAAAATATCATTTAAAAAATTGTCAAAACAGTTTTTAACTGTTTCTATTACGAGTTCACCACACCCACAATATCCCAAGCACTAGCTTCATGTTTTGCACATAAATCCATGCGTAGCGTAGCTCCCAACTCTGCTTTATCGGCTCTCAAACAAGTACCCGTAGCCATGTTATAAATAGGACTACGTTCGGCTTTAGTATGGCGCCATTGCTGATCTCCCAACATTTCGTGGCATTTGTTAATGATAACCTGAGTATCGCCAGAGGCTTCTAGACATAAAAGACGATCTAAGATGATTTCCGATTTATCGGTTTCATACCATATTTGTGATTTTTGTTCATCACATTTTTGCAATACCAAAGAGCTGCCTTTTTTCCAGAAACCCTTTACTTTGGGTGCCACTACCGAGGCACATAGTTTAGTGCCCGATAATCTTAGCATATAGGTTGAGATATAATTACGTTTTCTTGAATGCCAGGGCTGGAAGACGGGTGGCTTTTCTTTTTTCGTATTCTCCTCTCCGGGCAGTCTCAGCTCGGGGTAAACATTTTTCAAATACCATTCAAAAGATTTACATTTTAGTTTTTCTCTCAACTGCAGGCGTTCGCTTATATCGCCATAGTCAAAATGTGGTGTAACCTTTTCGAGTTTAAGATAATGTTCTTTATAATCGTCCATCCAAACATGGGCCAAACGTAGGGAGTTTTTGAGCATAGTATCACTGCCATCGGGGGAACTGTAAGGTCTTCTTTTACGAAAGATATGGCCAACACGAGAACAGGGTACAATTTTAATGGCGCCACCACATTGCCAGGTACGAAAAGAGATTTCGAGATTTTCACCTCCCCATATGTCCATGCCCATGTCATAGCTGCCTATGTAGTCGAAATACTGGCGATTGACGGCGAAAAGGCCTCCAGCCATGGTGGGGGATATGAAGGGACCTAGAAAATGAGGAGAAAAAGAAAAGATTGATTTTGAAAAAGTTGTATCTCAAAGTCGATTTTTGTACTAAAATCTTGTTTTTTGTAAAATTCATTTTTATATTCAAATAATTTTGTACTAAAATTTGGATTATATGCTAAAGACTGGATTCTGTACTAAAATTTAGATTTTACACTAAAAACTCGTTTTTGTACCAAAAACGCATTATTGTACTAAAAACACTTTTTTGGTATTAAAAAATCGTTTTAGTAAATAAAATCATTTTTGTACTAAAAAGTCATCTTTGTACTAAAAATTAAATTTTGTACCAAAAACTCGTTTTTGCACTAAAATTTCTATTTTGCAATAAAAACTCGTTTCCGTACTAAAAACTCTGTATGTACTAAAAACTCATATGTGTACTAATAAAACGTTTTAGTACTAAAAATTTGTTTTTGTACTAAAAACTTGATTTATTTAATTATCTTCAATTTATTGAGAACAAATTTGATTTTATGATTAAAACCTAATACTCACCTTTAAAGTCCTCCTCCTGCTTTAAAGTACCCTCCGGTAAATTCTCCCACTTATAGTGAAGACCCCAATTGAAACCTCCCCTCACCAAGGGACTCGATGAGTACTGGAATGTATCGGCATTAATTAAATCTATCACAGGTACAGCCAAAGTAGAATTCTCGGCCTTAATTAAACGCAACAAAGGTTCCGCCCATTGTTGATTCACCTCTATGTGGGAATCTAAGAAAATCAAAACATCTCCTTTGGCTTCGCGGGCTCCAATTACACGTGATCTTATTAAACCTTCACGCTGTGTATTTCTTATATATTTTAGATTATCATAGTGTAATTGGGAGTGAAGTTCACCCTGTAAATGGAATTCTAATTCAGGTAAATCACTGAAATCATCTACCAATATGATTTCCTTTAAGAGCCAAGAGGGAGTACGTTGTATAATGGTATTTATGGAACGAAATAAAGTCATTTTGTGTTCATTATAGAAACACATAATAATGGATGCTGTGGGCAGTGTTTCGGTTTCTAGGGTGGGCGTACGGGGACACACTTTGTGGCGGGTATCGGGTATGGAGCGCATCAAGCCAATATTGTTAGAAACTAAGGCATTAAAAGCATGATGTTTATAGCCTATATCACGCACATACTTGTCCTGTTTATTCCTCACTACACCCAAACCATTAATGGCCTCATCGGCCGCCATCAAGCCTGCCAGAGAATCTGTGGCAGCTTCCAACTTTTCACTCAAACATTTTGTTTGTACTCTGTTTTCATATAGCAAAAGAGGATTAGGACTGCCCAGCTCTTTGCTAGACCAGCCGCCCTTTTCAATGTCACTCCTTAGCAGGTACAGATAAATTAAGAGCGACACCAAACCAAATAATACTAAATAGGTTTCCAAAGTAAAGGTTTTACAAATTCTACGTTTTAGCTGCATTTTTTTTTTAATAATAATCGTGGCACTTTTTTATGACGTTGTGTTAGAAAAACTATTTAGTTAATAATATTTTAACCTACTTTATGTTTATTTAAAGATTTTGCAATAATGTTGTGCATTTTAATTAAAACACTAATTGATACCCGTTGTTTTTGTTTACGTTTTCACATTTAATAAACAAGACAACAAAGATGCCACATTAGCAAAAATATATATATTTTTTGCAAACTTATGGGCAAGCTTTGTTAAATAACAATCACAATAGTTTGGCATTGTCAAGAGACAATCACAATAGTGTAATAAAAGCTTCATTCAGATAACCGCGTCGATTCGACTTTAAGCCGACTATTTTTCAGCTTAATACGGCTTAAAAATTACACCATATATTTTATATAATTTACAGAACACTTTCGCTAAATTTATGGATCGGTGTAAAAAATTGCTCAACATACGATGTATATGCTTCGCCTCAGATATTTTCGTGTTTACGCGCCTAATTCGAGTCGCTTCTTTTACTTCAAACCAGCTTTGTTGAGGTCAATCAAGTGGCGGTTCACACAGAAACATTTTTTTTTGGAAACTTTTGATTTTGTGTGTGGGAGAAAGAGATGGTTGATATTTCGTTCTCTTTTTTTCACACACAAAATCAAAAGATTCTCAAAAAAAGTTTTCCTATGTGAACCGCCAACAAGCTGCACCCTTTTACATTGCTGGTTTGTCATCGAACATGTGTTTTTTAAATGTCGATTGCGAAATTTTTAAAATTTTAAATGGGAATATTTTTGAAGCTAATTGATATTTACAGGAAATTTTTTTTTATAAAATCAAAAATTAACTAGCTAATCAAAACTAAAAATCTTTGATATCGGATGGGAAACAAAAAATGTCACGCATTTCCGTTTTTATTTAAAATCGTTGAAAATTTAAAAATCAAACGTATTTGAGAACTTACCAGGCTTACAGTTGATTTTAAGCCGCCGCCGATATTTTTAGTGTAAGCCGCCGTTAATAGTTGTTGGCGCAGATCTGTGAGGCTTCATTTCTGAAAATTGTTGCGCCAATTGTAGTTTGTAAAGAAAATTTATAAATTTGATTTAAATTTCAATAAAGGAACCAAAAATGGAGGCTATTAATGCTAATAAACAAGAGCCGCAACTTAATTTAGGTAAGTTTGTTAAAAATATTTCATAAAACAGGAATTTTCTCAAGTTTGAACAAAAAACCAATTGCAGACACCAATGCCCGGCGAAATTTTGTAAAATTTTTACAAAAACAGGGTGAAGTAAGTTTAAAATTTATAAATTTCCTTTCTCTTAGCAATAAATAAACATTTTCCTCACACAGAAACCTGTCACTACCGTGCGTTTTTTCGATCGCACTGATTCCTATTCTGTTCACGGCCCGGAAGATTCCGACTTAATTTCTCGTCTAGTTTATAAATCCACCGCCTATATACGCCAATTGCTAGCTGATGATGGACAGCCTTCACCCTATGTCATGCTTTCCAAGTCAAATTTCGAATTGGCCGTTCGAGAACTATTGCTAGTGCGTAATTATCGTGTGGAAGTCTATGTACGCCGTTCTACGGGCGGTGAGTGGCAATTAGAGTATCGCGGCTCCCCGGGTAATCTTTTGCAATTCGAGGATATTCTCTTTTCCAATAAGGAAATACTGGTGGGCAATAGCATTTTGTCTTTGCAATTGCGTGTGCAAAATAATCAGCGTAATTTGGGTGTAGCTTCAGTGGAACAGAATGATTGTCTTTTTCAAGTGGTGGAATTTGTGGACGATGATTTTTTCACTGAATTGGAAGCTACGGTGGTGCTATTGGGTCCCAAGGAGTGTTTGCTGCCTCAACAGGATGGAGAGGTGAGTACGAAATAGAGTTTTTAGTAAATATAACTAAAAGAAAGAAGTTTATTGGAGCTGCTGCATCAAGTTATTAGAAATGGAAGTTTCCAATTGGAATTTAGTATTAATTTAGACTTTTGCTATTGGAAATACTGAGCAATCTGTCCCGAAAGAATTTCAAATTGACATAGTAACTTTTTTACACCGATTTCAGTATGAAGCTGTTAAAAATCTCTTAGAACGTAATGGCGTTATGGTCACGGTGCCCCCAAAATCCGCCAACAATGAGAAAAATGATTTAATACAAGATCTAAATCATTTACTACGTTTTGCTAAAGGTCAACAAGAAGATGCTACCGGCATGCCTGAACTACAGCTTACAATTGCCATGGAGGCTCTAAGAGTAGCCATAAAGTATACAGACCTCGTCAATGATGCTGGGAATTTGGGTCACTATCAAATAAAACAATTAAATCTTAAAAGGTAAACATGTCCCCCAACCATTTGGAAAAGTAAAAAATATATCATTGCAATTCTCTCAGATTTGTTCATTTAGATGCTGCAGCCGTTAGTGCCCTTAATATCCTACCCAAGCCGGGAACTCATTTCTCCTCACCTTCCTATAGGTGGCAAAGTGTTTTGGGAGTACTCGATCATTGTCGCACTGCACAGGGTCATCGTTTAATGGCTCAATGGGTTAAGCAACCTTTAAGAAGTCGGGAAATTTTAAATGATCGCCATAACATAGTACAATGCTTTCTCGAATCGCCCACCACCTTAAACTCTTTACATGAAGAATTTCTAAAACGTATACCCGACGTTTTAATGCTTACCAAAAAGTTACTACGTCAAAAGGCCAATTTACAAGATATCTTTCGCATTTACCAGGTCATGTTGCGTACCCCTAAAATAGTTAATGCTCTGCTCTCTTTGGAAAATGCCACCGTTAAAAGTGTTTTATGTGATCCCCTCAAAAGTTATCTAGAAGATCTTTCGGGACTCAAGCAAATGGTAGAACAAGTAATGGACTTCGATGCCATAGAAACTGGTGAATATTTGGTTAAAGCTTCCTTTGATTCTGAATTACTCGAAATGAAAGAAAGAATGTCCAAGTTACTACACAAAATGGAAAAGTTGCAGGAAAAGGCTGCCCAAGAGTTAGATTTGGATAAAAATCAAAATGTTAAATTATTAAATGTCTCACATGTTGGTTATCATTTTCGCATTACCCTAAGAGATGACAGTGCATTGCGTAAAAATAAAAACTATAAAATAATTGATGTCGTTAAGGGTGGCATACGTTTTACCTCGGAGAAATTAACCGAAATCAATGATGAATTTGTTTCGTTACGCACCCGCTATGAGGAGCAGCAGAAAAATATTGTAGAGGAAATCGTTAAAGTAGCTGTAGGTTATGCTGCTCCCTTGACAAGTCTCAACAATGAATTTGCTCAATTGGATTGTTTGGTTAGTTTTGCCATAGCAGCTCAAACGGCTCCCACACCCTATATAAGACCCAAGATTTTGCCTGAAGGTGCTGGGGAATTAGTGCTAAAAGATATTCGTCATCCTTGTCTGGAATTACAAGAGCATATTACCTTTATAGCCAATAATGTGGAGTTTAAGAAAGGTGTGTTGTTACTTTAATACCAAAACTATTTCGCTTACTTATTTGTCATTAATTTTCCAGATAAATGTAATATGTTTATTATAACTGGTCCCAATATGGGTGGCAAATCTACCTATATACGTTCGGTAGGTACCGCTGTTTTAATGGCTCATGTTGGCTCTTTTGTTCCTTGTTCTGAAGCCACTATATCCATGGTTGATTCCATATTGGGTCGTGTGGGTGCCAGTGATAATATTATTAAGGGCTTGAGCACCTTTATGGTGGAAATGATTGAAACTTCGGGTATTATAAGAGTAAGTTTTAAGACAATAGTTTAAATTCGTTATGTTGTTATAAATTTATGTTTCCTTTTGTTTTCAGTCTGCCACAGATAAATCTTTGGTCATTATTGATGAATTGGGTAGAGGTACTTCTACCTATGAGGGTTGCGGTATAGCCTGGTCTATAGCAGAGTAAGTACGAAATATTTTAAGGGATTTATAAAAGGAAATGAAAAGAAAAAAGAGGAACAAGAAAACTATATCTATCTATCTATCTATCTATCTATCTATCTATCTATCTATCTATCTATCTATCTATCTATCTATCTATCTATCTATCTATCTATCTATCTATCTATCTATCTATCTATCTATCTATCTATCTATCTATCTATCTATCTATCTATCTATCTATCTATCTATCCATCTATCTATCTATCTATCTATCTATCTATCTATCTATCTATCTATCTATCTATCTATCTATCTATCTATCTATCTATCTATCTATCTATCTATCTATCTATCTATCTATCTATCTATCTATCTATCTATCTATCTATCTATCTATCTATCTATCTATCTATCTATCTATCTATCTATCTATCTATCTATCTATCTATCTATCTATCTATCTTTCTATCTATCGATCTATCTATCTATCTATCTATCTATCTATCTATCTATCTATCTATCTATCTATCTATCTATCTATCTATCTATCTATCTAGAGACTTTAAAAAAACTTGATGTTGACAGATTCAAAATATGTGCTATTTTCTTCTTTTCCAGACACCTCGCTAAAGAAACCAAATGTTTCACACTCTTTGCCACACATTTCCATGAAATTACCAATCTTGCCGATACAGTTAAAACCGTTAAAAATTGTCACATGGCTGCCGTAGCAGACAATGAAAACTTCACGCTCCTATATCAAGTAAGACCTGGAGTAATGGAAAAATCATTTGGTATACAAGTGGCTCGTTTGGCAAATTTTCCCGAAAAGGTGGTACAAAATGCCCAACAAGTTTACAATGAATTTGAAGATGAACACGCCAATAAACAATCGCAAGAAGATAAAGATCTGTTGGATAAAATTAATAAAGCCATTCAGGATTTATCGACTACGGGCAATAATAAGGATATAAACGAAAAAGATTTATCACAATTGGTAGAACAATTTACCAAGGATATTAAAAAATTGGATAGTGAATACTTTAAGGCGGTTTTAACAACAGCAGTGGGTGAAAATTGAAGTTGTTACTTAAAAGTAAGTTTTGTATTATTAGTTGTTAGTTTTTCATTTTGTATTTTCACTTAAAAGTGAATGAATTCCTGAATTATTTTGATAACAGATTTAATGTATACGATTTTTTTATATTAAAATTCCATTTTTCTTTTATAATTTTCAGTATATATTTTTGTGTTAAAAAGGGATAAAAAGAAAAAGCAAGATTCCATTTATTTTTTCAAGATTTTCAAGTTCAAATAATATTTCAGCAGTTAAATTAAAAGGTAAGTGGATTTTATTTTCAAATAAAACATTTGAAAATCGAATGAATCTATGAAATCAAATAACAAAGACCTGCTTTAACAATCAAAGAAATTTATGTTTTTCGCAATATTTCTCTCTTATTTATGGTGTATCGTTTCCATTATCCATAGGAACGTTTAACTAAAAATGTTATTCATAAGGATTTTAAAAGCAAACTTGGTAATTTCTATCATTTTGAATTTTTTTTTTTTTCAAAAAGAACGTTTTTGATAATTAATAGTGTTTCAATTCCATTTTCTATAGAAACTATAAAATTTTAAAAATTCGGTTACATATTAATGTTAGTTTTTACTTTTTGAATTCATTAACATTAGTTTTTTGTAATTTTATAGTGTTTCATTTCCATTTTTCATCGGAATGCTAAAACAAAATTTATATTTTTTAGGATTTTTTAAATATTTATATTAGCCTTTTGTTGTTGGTAAAATTTTTGGGTACATTTTTAAAATTAGTTGTGTTTCATTTCCATTTTCCATAGGAACATTTGTATACATTTTTAAAATTAAAGGATATTTTTAAAATTTTTTATACGTTTAGAATATTTGTTTAATTCTCACGAAAAATTTAGGAAAATTAAAAGTGTTTCAATTCCATTTTCTATAGAAATATTAAAATAAATAAATATTTTTTTTTTTAATTTTGTTATATATTCTTATTATATGTTTATTACTATTGATATTTTTGGAGAAATTTTTAAAATTTACAATGTTTCATTTCCATTTTCTGTAGGAATGTTCAAGAAAATTTAATGTTTTTGAAGTTTTTTGATGATTTTTTTTATTAGAATTTTAACACAAAGCTGATTTTTGGGTAAATTTTATAATTTTGTAATGTTTCATATCCATTTCCTATAGGAATGTTAAAGAAAAATTTTATGTTTTTGAAGTTTTTTGATGATTTTGTGTTAGAATTTTATAGCTAAAGGAATTTATGTGGAAATTTTTAAGTTTCTCAAAGTTTCATTTCCATTTTCTATAGGAATGTTAAGGAAAAATTTAATATTTTTGAAGTTTTTTGACGATTTTGTATTAGAATCTTATGGCTAAATGGATTTATGTGAAAATTTTTAAGTTTCTTAATGTTTCATTTCCATTTTCTATAGGAACGTTTAGGAAAATTGGGAATTTTTCTGGTTACTGTTTTACTTTTGTGCTATTTGTTTTGAACTATCTTAGAATTTTATACTAAAACCATTTTTGGGGAAAAATTTTAAAATTTTTTATGTTTCAATTCCATTTTCTATAGGAATATTGCTAAAATTTTTAATATTTTTAAAGTTTTTTGATGATTTTATATTAGAATTTTATTACTTAAGAGATTTTTGTGGAAAATTCTAAGTTTCTTAATGTTTCATTTCCATTTTCAATAGGAATGTTAAGGAAAATTTTATATTTTCGACGTATTTTGATGATTTTGTATTAGAATTTGATTACTAAAGATATTTTGAGGAGATTTTTCAAATTTATTGTGTTTTATTTCCATTTTCTATAGGAATGTTAAGGAAAAATTTAATTTTTTTGAATTGTGTTTGTGTTTTCATATTATAATTTTATTACTAAAGATAATTTTGAGGAAATTTTTTAAATTTATTATGTTTCATTTCCATTTTCTATAGGAATGTTAAGGAAAAATTTTAAATGTTTGATGTATTTTGATGATTTTTTTATAAGAATTTTAGTGTTAAAATAATTTATGTGGACATTTTTAAGTTTCTTAATGTTTCATTTCCATTTTCTATAGGAACGTTTAGGAAAATTGTGAATTTTTCTGGTTACTGCTTAACTTTTGAGGTATTTGTTTTAAAGTCTGGGTTGTGGTTAAGAAATTTGATTTTTTATCATGTTTCAATTCCATTTCCCATAGGAATGTGACGAAATTTTTGTAACTTTTATGTTTTTTTAACTAAAAATTTAAAAATTTAACTTTGTTTGTCTGAAATCATACTTACCTGTAATATTTCTTTGTTTTGAAAGGATTTTATTTAGGGATTTTTAATTTCATTTAAACAATTGGTCTTTTTTTATTATTTTTATACAGTTTTTTTTTCTTAAACATTAAAACAATTCTTTTTCAAAGAAATTTCTTTATTAAATTCTTATATTTTCTATGTATATATAGTTTTTCTTTTTTTAATTTAAATCTTTCAAAAATAAATATTTTATAACTAGATTTTGTTTTTGTTTGTTATAATTTTTTTTTTTCACTAAGAATTTTTGTCTACAATTTTTTGTTAATTTATAACTTTAAGTGTTTTTTGTTCTCTTCATAATTAGTTAACTTCTTTATTTGCTTTAGCAAGGAGACAATCTATCTAGGGTAGACACCCCCTTTTATAAGTAGTTTTGATTACTTGTCATGCTTTATTGATTCATCATATACTTTCTCCAGTTTGTTTTTTAATATTTTTAAAATATAAAGGCAATTTTTTTGTTTTTTCTTCTTTTTTTGTGTTGTTGTTTTGTTTTAAGGAAAAGAAGTTTTGTTAAAATAAAACTTTTTATAAGAAAAAGTATAAGTTTTTTTTTAGAAAAATGTTAACTTAAGAATTTTTAAAAATTGCTAAGTATTTTTTTTAGGTTCTAAACTTGCTTACTAGTAGTGTTGTTGTTTTTTATAGTTATTTTAAAGTTTTATAGTTGGTAAAGTTGCTTGACACTTAAGGTGGTTTGTAACTATTTTAGTTGCTTGTTTTAAAAATTTATATAAAAAATTGTAACAAAACTTTTTTTGTTATAAAAAATCTATTATAAAAAAACTTAATTTTTGGCTGTTTTTTTTTTTTGTTTAAAAAACTTTATAAAAAACATGTTTAACAAAAATTCTATAAGTAACAAAACAAAAACATTTAACACAATTTAAAGTTTCATTTAAAAGGAGTTAAACCAACTAAACTATAAAAAAAACTCCTTAAAAATTTTTCTACAAAATTTGCTATTTCTTAAAATGAAACTTTAAAATTCTGTTTAATAATAATAATATTTTCTAAATAAAACTGAAACTACAGTATATTGTTGTTGTATATATAAATATATAATTTTATAAATTTTTTTGAGTTTTGGACTTTTGTGTGTGTATGTGTGTATGGCACTCAAAAACTTAAAAAAAACAGTGTGGTTAATTGTTTTTTATATATATATTTTTTTTGGCAAATTATTCTTCATTTTCTACTCCCTGATTGTTTTAAAGTTGTTTTTTTTTTTAGTTTTTTCATTTCAATTAATTGTGCTTTACTTTCAGTGTGTCAGTTCAGAGTTAAAAATGGAGAGTAAAACTTGATAATTCAGGCACGTCTTAAATAACGTGTTATTAAAACCAGCGTCAGTGTTAGACTTAAAATTAACAAATTAGATGTTAAAGATGAGGCGTCACCACAATAACTGTAAAGATCCTCCTGCAAAAAGAGAAAATATAGAAAAAATCAATTTAAAATAAAAGATTCCATAAATTTTCTGTAAAAATTTCAATATTTTCTAGGTTTTAATTCCATTTTCATACGAACATTTTTAATTATCCCAAATATATTTCAAAATTAAGGAAATTAACTAGATTTCTTCATCATTTTAGCTATAAATGCAAAAATTTTTATGTTTTAATTCCATTTTCTATAGGAACGTGAAAGAAAATTTAAATTTTCTTCTAAATTTAATTATTAATTATGACAAACAACAAGATTTGATTAAATTTTTATATAAAATGCAAAAAATTTTCTTGTTTCAATTCCATTTTTCATAGGAACGTTTTATAAAACTTAAAAATTTACAAAATTTCATAACAAAATAAGACTTATAGCCGTTCTACACAAAGATTTTAGTTAAATTTTTAAAATTTGATATGTTTCAATTTCATTTCTCGTAGGAACGTTTTATAAAACTTAAAATTTTTCAAAATTTTATTACAAAATTCGGTAATTTGGCAGTTCTAGATATCAATTTTAATACAAAATTTCAAATTGGAAATGTTTCAATTTCATTTCTCATAGGAACGTTTTATAAAACTTAAAATTTTTCAAAATTTCATAACAAAATAAGACTTATAGCCGTTCTACACAAAGATTTTAGTAAAATTTTTAAAATTTGAAATGTTTCAATTCCATTTTCTATAGGAACATTACACTAAATTAAAATTTTCTTCTAAATTTAATTATTAATTATGACATACAACAAGATTTGATTAAATTTTTATATAAAATGCAAAAAATTTTCTTGTTTCAATTCCATTTTTTATAGGAACGTTTTATAAAACTTAAAAATTTAAAAAATTTCATTACAAAATAAGACTTATAGCCGTTTTACACAAAGATTTTAGTTAAATTTTTAAAATTTGAAATGTTTCAATTCCATTTTTATAGGAACGTTTTATAAAACTTACAATTTTTCAAAATTTTATTACAAAATTCGGTAGCAGTTCTAGATATCAATTTCAATACAAAATTTCAAATTGGAAATCTTTCAATTTCATTTCTCATAGGAACGTTTTATAAAACTTAAAAATTTACAAAATTTCATAACAAAATAAGACTTTATAGCCGTTCTACACAAAGATTTTAGTTAAATTTTTAAAATTTTAAATGTTTCAATTCCATTTTCTATAGGAATGTTAAAGAAAATTTAAATTTTCTTTAAATTTAATTATTAATTATGACAAACAACAAGATTTGATTAAATTTTTATATAAAATGCAAAAAATGTTCTTGTTTCAATTCCATATTTTATAGGAACGTTTTATAAAACTTAAAAATTTACAAAATTTCATAACAAAATAAGACTTATAGCCGTTCTACACAAATATTTTAGTTAAATTTTTAAAATTTGATATGTTTCAATTCCATTTTTATAGGAACGTTTTATAAAACTTAAAATTTTTCAAAATTTTATTACAAAATTCGGTAATTTGGCAATTCTAGATATCAATTTCAATACAAAATTTCAAATTGGATATGTTTCAATTTCATTTCTCATAGGAACGTTTTATAAAACTTAAAATTTTTCAAAATTTCATAACAAAATAAGACTTATAGCCGTTCTACACAAAGATTTTAGTTAAATTTTTAAAATTTGATATGTTTCAATTCCATTTTTATACGAACGTTTTATAAAACTTAAAATTTTTCAAAATTTTATTACAAAATTCGGTAATTTGGCAGTTCTAGATATCAATTTCAATACAAAATTTCAAATTAAAAATGTTTCAATTTCATTTCTCATAGGAACGTTTTATAAAACTTAAAATTTTTCAAAATTTCATAACAAAATAAGGCTTATAGCCGTTCTACACAAAGATTTTAGTAAAATTTTTAAAATTTGAAATGTTTCAATTTCATTTTCTATAGGAACATTAAACTAAATTAAAATTTTCTTCTAAATTTAATTATTATTTGTGATAAACAACAAAATTTGATTAAATTTTTATATAAAAAGCAAAAAATTTTCTTGTTTCAATTCCATTTTCATAGGAACGTTTTACAAAATTTCATAACAAAATAAGATTATATAGCCGTACTACACAAAAATTTTAGTAAAATTTGAAATGTTTCAATTCCATTTTTATAAGAACATTTTATAAAACAAAATTTTTCTAAATTTTATTACAAAATTCGATTACTTAGCAGTTTTAGACAAAAGTTTTACTAAAATTTTTTAAATTTGAAATGTTTCAATTCCATTTTCTATAGGAACGTTTTAAAATTTTTGAAATTATACAACATTTGGTTAAAAATTTGACTAATCATAAGATTTTCCTTTAATTTCTAACTAAAATGCAAAAATGTTCATGTTTCAATTCCACTTTTATAGGAACGTTGTAAGAAACTTTAAAATTTTCTAGATTTTATAACAAATTTAGATTAATTATTAATTCTAGAATAAAATTTATTTAAAATTTTTACAATTTGAAATGTTTCAATTCCATTTTCAAAGGAACGTTTTGTAAAACTTAATTTTTTCATAATTTTATTACAAAATTAGGTTATTTAGCAGTTCTAAATAGCAATTTCAATAAAAATTTAAAATGTTTTAATTCCATTTTCTATAGGAACGTTGAAGTAAATATAAATTTTCTTCTGAATTAAATTATTATTTGTAATAAGTAACAATATTTTCTTTAATTTTTAGTTAAAATGCTAAAATTTTCTATGTTTCACTTCCATTTTCATAGGAACATTTAAACAAATTTGAAATTTATCAAAATTTTACTACAAAATTTAATAATTTACGTGCTCTAGATTATAATATCGTTACAAAATTCAATATTTCAAGTGTTTCAATTCCGTTTTTTATAGGAACGTTTAGAAAAATTTTAAATTTTTGCAATTTTTCTTAGAGATTTGTGTTATAGATTAATCAAATGTTTAATTTTTCTATTTACATTAACAAAATTTTATGTTTTATTTCCATTTTTCATAGGAACGTTTTGAAAGTTTTAAATTGTTTGCTATTTTCTTTGTTTTTGTTAAAAACTAATAGCTGTCTTCATTTTGCTCATTGAGCTCAAGAAATTATATGTTTCATTTTCATTTCTCATAGGAACGTTTTGAAAAATTTTAATTTTTTGACATTTTTCTTCGAAATTTGTGTTAAAAACCATTTGCAGTCTTCAGTTTGCGACTTCAGTTTAAAAAATTTTTTGTTTCATTTCCATTTTTCATAGGAACGTTTTGAAAATTCTTAATTTTTTTCAAATTTTTCTTAGAAATTTGTGTTAAAACCTAATTACTTTCTTCATTTTACTCATTAAGATCAAGAAAGTGTATGTTTCATTTTCATTTTTTATAGGAACGTTTTGAAAATTTTTAATTTTTTGCAATTTTTCTTAGAAATTTGTATTAAAACTCACTGTTATCGTTATGTAAACAAAGGATTTAAGTTTTTTACTTACATCCGGATGTTCCGTAAAACACTCCTCAATACGTCTCCGTTCATAGAAACTCATATTGAGTTTATAGCATGGAAATTCCTTCGGATAGATTAGTCTTTGTGGTTCGGTGGTTTTTTTCGTACCCTTCGAAGGCATCAATACATTTATGACCACCAACAGTAAATTTGTACGTGGTATTTTCTTTATATAAAATGGACGTACAGTTGGTAATCGTATGGCATCGTTAATACCCTCCACAGAATTCGGTTGGAGATTATATAAAGTAGTAACCTTATCGCATGGCTCATAAACTGGTGGTGGTTCAGGTTCATTGAAAATCATTTCATCCTCATCTTCCTCTTTGGGTTTAGGTTGCATGGAAGCAAAATTATCACGACCAAAACCACCAGCATCATAATCATCCTCAATATCATCGTTATATTCCAAAACTTTGAAAAAAGTTTATTGTTAATTAAAGGTTTTTGTATAATGTTAAACAAATACTTACAGGGTGCACCATCCACCCACCATTTAATGCGTGAATAATGCCAAAATATGGAAGACACTAGCCATTTCCAGGCTACAGTTAAAACTTTCCAGGGCTTTAAAAGAATTTGTTGTTGAAAATAATTTACTTAATGGTTTCTTAAAAAAACTTACGTGCATTAGATTGCTGCCATCACTCTGTTTGGCATCTTCATCCACACATAACGATTGATAGTCATAAACATCTATACTTTGATAGACTTCCAATTGTACCATGGCTTCCATAACATCTCCTTGAAATTCACCAAAAAATTTACCCGTATGATTAACATTTCTGGCCAGGATTATATAGGCATTATTGTCTATAACATAACACTCAAACTCATCACTGTTGCAGGTTTTAATGCAGCCATCACACTAAAAAACAAAAACAATGGCTTTAAATTTTGAAATCCAAAAAAATCTCAAAAACTTACATTATCCGTGGAGGTTATATTGAAAAAACGATCCAACATTTGGGCATGAGAAAATTGAAAACCCACCACACAGGCTGGAGCCTCTTTACCACCATCTCTGGGAAAGATAGCATGCGAAGCGGTCACTTTCAATTCACTATCCTCGGCAGGATCACTATGATGTTTGACAGAATACACAAAACTATCGGTACGTTCTTCATGATGTGCCAATATAGCGCTTCTATACCAAGTTTCATCTATGGCTTTAGTATGATAATCTCCAAACTCTCGATCATTCTCTACCTCTACTTCGCCATAGATAAATTGCCAACGTGTCAAACCACTCATGGTGGCCACAAAACGTAAAGTGGCTCCAAATCTTTCAATTAAAGCTTTCTCTTCCTCACTTTCGAATTTCCAGACACCATAACTGGAATTAGTTACCTTGGCATCGAAGATCAGCAAGTGTACCAGTTCCTTGTTGCAATAATAGGCATCATCCGACAGGGATTTGCGGCCACAGTTTACTAAATTAGAAAAAATGTACAGATTTTCTATTAATTACAAGTTTTCCGTTAAAATAGTAACATTTTTATTGTTTCAATTCCATTTCTATAGGAACATTAAACAAAATTATCAGTTTCCTTAAAAAATTAAAAATTTATTAATTTAAAGCTTCTGCTATCATTTCCCTTGAAATTGTAAAAAAATATAGTGTTTCGATTCCATTTTCATAGGAATATTTGAGAAAATTATAATTTTTTGCAAAATTTCTAACAAATTCATGTTAATTATATGTTTACATTAACCTTTTCATTCAAATAGTGAAAATTATATGTGTTTCAATTCCATTTCCTTAGGAACGTTTGATAAAATTTAAAATGTTACAGAAAATTTTTATAAATTTTAATAAATTTCAAGCTTCTCATTTAATTTTTAAAGAAATGTGAACTTTTTTTTGTGTTTCATTCCCATTTCTATAGGAACGTTTGATAAAATTTTAATTTTTAATTAAAATTTTCAAGAAATTTTAGAAATCATAAGTATTTGAGGTAATTTTTATAGAAATTGTTAAAATTTTATTGTGTTTCAATTCCATTTTTATAGGAACGTTTACAAAAAATTTAAATTTTTATGAAATTTTAATGCATCTTATGTTAATTATACGTTTCTGATGTAATTTTTGTTGTTAAAACCAAAATTTATTATGTTTCAATTCCATTTCCATAGGAACGTTTGATAAAATTTCAAAATTTATAGAAAGTTTTATTTTTTTTATTAATTACAAGTTAGAGATATCATTTCTCTTGAAATTTTAAAAATTTTATTCTGTTTCAATTCCATTTCCTTAGGAATGTTTGCCAAAATTTAAAATTTTGTCGAAAGTTTTTATTAACTATAATTAATTAAGACCTTCTGTTGTCATTTCTATTGGAATTATAAAAATTCAATGTGTTTCATTTCCATTTCTATAGGAACGTTTGATAAAATTTCGAAATTTACAGGAACTTTTAAATTTGTTTTATTAAATACAAGTTTGTGATATCATTTCTCTGGAAATTTTAAAAATTTGTTGGGTTTCAATTCCATTTCCTTAGGAATGTTTGCCAAAATTTTAAATTTTGCCGATTTTTTTTATTTATTCTAATTAATTAAGAGCTTTTGTTGTCATTTCAATTGGTATTATAAAAATTTATTGTGTTTCATTTCCATTTCCTATAGGAACATTTTAGAAAAAATTAAGATTTTCAAAAATTTCTTATAAATTTTTATTAATTTATTATTTGTGCCTTCAGTTTCCTGAATTTTACGAAATTTTTTGCTGTTTCAATTTCATTTCAATAGGAACGTTTAATAAAATTTTGAAATTTACGGAAACTTTTTTGAAATTTGTATTAAATATAAGTTTGTATATTAATTTCTGTTGAAATTATGATATTTTGTGGTGTTTCAATTCCATTTTTATAGAAACGTTGGAAAAAATGTTAAATTGTGAAACAAATTTTTAGAAATTTCTAATAAATTCGTGTTTTTTGCATAATTTTCATTGAAATTTTACAAACTTATCGTGTTTCTATTCCATTATTGATAGGAACGTTTCAGAAAAGTTTAAGATTTTAGTGAAAATGCTTAGAAATTTTTGTTATTTTTAAAAATATGACAAAATTTTTCCTAAAAATAAGAAATTATTTGTGTTTCAATTCCATTTTCATAGGAACGTTGAACAATTTTTTTTGTGTATTTTAAGTTTAAACGAAAATTACTTTTTTACAACTTACAATCATCATCATCTCTATCCTGTTCATCTTCCTCATATTGTTCCGACCATTTCCAATCTTTTTGCACCATTTTACCCAAGAAATGTTTAAGTTCTGCTTCGGGCGTCTTAAATTCATGACCCTCCAAGTAGTGATATTTACAATAGACCCAATCGGGATGCACCTTCCAATTTTCACCCACAAAAAAGTCCGATATATTGATTTTCATATGAATATTCTTCAACACCTCCTCGCCCACCTTAATCCAAGTCTTGCCATATTCACTGGGCAATACAATGCCCAAGGAAAAGGGGGTATTGGGTAAAGGAGCAAAGAAATAATCTTGCTTTTCCTCCGAAACTCGACGCATTTTATCATAGTGTAGCTTTACACTAATATCTTTAAATTCACCCGATTCATGATTAACCATACTGCGCCTTAATTGTAAAATTGACTCGCCAGGATTACGGGGAGAATTGTCCTCGAATAGTTGTTCGACTTCGGTGAAATCAATACTATTGTAATTGGGATTCATGACACCGTTGGGCTAAGGATTTTAACATAAATTAAAACTTATTGGCAAAATTGAATAATATTGCCCTAACTTACCCCTATGGGCCTTAAATCGGGATGTAGTAGGACATAACCATTATTGGAAACCACAAAAGAATAACCATTAACACCCAGCTGCAAATATTTTTTATTAATAAAACCTTATTAAACCTTTAATGTCAGGAAATATACCTTATAAGGCAACGTCAATTTATCTATTTCTTCTACAGGCACATCAGTGCCCGCCACGCCTAATAACCGGGCGTGGGCGGTACTGTTGGCTTTACGATACGTTCGATCAAAGGCCGGCACACCTACTGCTATCATAAGACGTGCATCGGTGGCATTACCCTCGGGTTTATACTGAAAATTACAAAACATTATAAAACAAAGTTGATAATCTGTTACTCCATAAACTCTACAAACCGTTTTATCCGTAAATGAATGCGTCCAGGTGGGCGGATGTTCCACATCCTGTAACACCAGCGGCGTCGCTATTACATCTACATATTTTAACGCTTCTTCCTGTACCTCATCCAGCGTTTGTACATGCGAATAGTAGCCTCGATTAAGACAAGCCATCCATTGTATTTCTCGAACTTTAGTCACTTCTTTACCCAGCAGATAGGTGAATATTCGTACCTTCATACTCATTGTCCCATTTTCACCATCTCCCCAATTGTATTTTTCGAATATTTCGGTATTATTACCGGCTACACCATCGGTAACCACCATAATGGCTTGATTACAGGTGGAGGTTTCATTACAGCGTCTTTCTATGTAATACTGTAGGGGATAGAAGAGAATTTAAATTCTTAAGACTTTGGAACTAGTTCTATTCTAGTTCTGTTCTAGTTCTGTTCTAGTTCAGTTCTAGTTCTGTTCTAGTTCTGTTCTAGTTCAGTTCTAGTTCTGTTCTAGTTCTGTTCTAGTTCTGTTCTAGTTCTGTTCTAGTTCTGTTCTAGTTCTGTTCTAGTTCTGTTCTAGTTCTGTTCTAGTTCTGTTCTAGTTCTGTTCTAGTTCTGTTCTAGTTCTGTTCTAGTTCTGTTCTAGTTCTGTTCTAGTTCTGTTCTAGTTCTGTTCTAGTTCTGTTCTAGTTCTGTTCTAGTTCTGTTCTAGTTCTGTTCTAGTTCTGTTCTAGTTCTGTTCTAGTTCTGTTCTAGTTCTGTTCTAGTTCTGTTCTAGTTCTGTTCTAGTTCTGTTCTAGTTCTGTTCTAGTTCTGTTCTAGTTCTGTTCTAGTTCTGTTCTAGTTCTGTTCTGTTCTGTTCTGTTCTGTTCTGTTCTGTTCTGTTCTGTTCTAGTTCTGTTCTGTTCTAGTTCTGTTCTAGTTCTGTTCTAGTTCAGTTCTAGTTCTGTTCTAGTTCTGTTCTAGTTCTGTTCTAGTTCTGTTCTAGTTCTGTTCTAGTTCTGTTCTAGTTCTGTTCTAGTTCTGTTCTAGTTCAGTTCTAGTTCAGTTCTAGTTCAGTTCTAGTTCAGTTCTAGTTCAGTTCTAGTTCAGTTCTAGTTCAGTTCTAGTTCAGTTCTAGTTCAGTTCTAGTTCAGTTCTAGTTCAGTTCTAGTTCAGTTCTAGTTCAGTTCTAGTTCAGTTCTAGTTAGTTCTAGTTCAGTTCTAGTTCAGTTCTAGTTCAGTTCTAGTTCAGTTCTAGTTCAGTTCTAGTTCAGTTCTAGTTCAGTTCTAGTTCAGTTCTAGTTCAGTTCTAGTTCAGTTCTAGTTCAGTTCTAGTTCAGTTCTAGTTCAGTTCTAGTTCAGTTCTAGTTCAGTTCTAGTTCAGTTCAGTTCTAGTTCAGTTCTAGTTCAGTTCTAGTTCAGTTCTAGTTCAGTTCTAGTTCAGTTCTAGTTCAGTTCTAGTTCAGTTCTAGTTCAGTTCTGGTTCTGTTCTAGTTCTGTTCTAGTTCTGTTCTAGTTGTGTTCTAGTTCTGTTCTAGTTTCTGTTCTAGTTTCTGTTCTAGTCTGTTCTAGTTCTGTTCTAGTTCTGTTCTAGTTCAGTTCTAGTTCAGTTCTAGTTCAGTTCTAGTTCTAGTTTAAGTTCTAGTTCAGTTCTAGTTCAGTTCTAGTTCAGTGTCTAGTTCAGTTCTAGTTCAGTTCTAGTTCAGTTCTAGTTCAGTTCTAGTTCAGTTCTAGTTCAGTTCTATTCAGTTCTAGTTCAGTTCTAGTTCAGTTCTAGTTCAGTTCTAGTTCAGTTTCTAGTTCAGTTCTAGTTCAGTTCTAGTTCAGTTCTAGTTCAGTTCTAGTTTAGTTCTAGTTTAGTTCTAGTTCAGTTCTAGTTCAGTTCTAGTTCAGTTCTAGTTCAGTTCTAGTTCAGTTCTAGTTCAGTTCTAGTTCAGTTCTAGTTCAGTTCTAGTTCAGTTCTAGTTCAGTTCTAGTTCAGTTCTAGTTCAGTTCTAGTTCAGTTCTAGTTCAGTTCTAGTTCAGTTCTAGTTCAGTTCTAGTTCAGTTCTAGTTCAGTTCTAGTTCAGTTCTAGTTCAGTTCTAGTTCAGTTCTAGTTCAGTTCTAGTTCAGTTCTAGTTCAGTTCTAGTTCAGTTCTAGTTCAGTTCTAGTTCAGTTCTAGTTCAGTTTTAGTTCAGTTCTAGTTCAGTTCTAGTTCAGTTCTAGTTCAGTTCTAGTTCAGTTCTAGTTCAGTTCTAGTTCAGTTCTAGTTCAGTTCTAGTTCAGTTCTAGTTCAGTTCTAGTTCAGTTCTAGTTCAGTTCTAGTTCTGTTCTAGTTCTGTTCTAGTTCTGTTCTAGTTCTGTTCTTGTTCTGTTCTAGTTTATTTCTAATTCAATTCTAGTTCAGTTTTGTCTTCATTTCCACTCACCTTCTTTAACAGCTCGAAAGCCTTCGTATAAGCAATTGACAAATTAGCATAACCCTGTGGTTTCATCTTACTTATCACATCATTAAAAACATTTATATTCTCAGGCGTAGCCTGAACCAAAGCATCCTTAAAGCACGGTACAATATCATCGGTAGTGGAGGAGTAATTAAAAATGGTAAAAAAATCATTATTGGAAAACGTATCCAATATACTGCGTATAGTAAATTTGGCAACATGAAAACGGAAGCCAGTCATAGAACCAGAATTATCCAGTAAAATAACAATATCCTTGGAACAGGTGGCGGTTTCAATATACCACGAACGTTTGCGACAATCATAAGTATCGGCATTGCCATCTGGTTCGTGTTCCTCCCATTGGGAGGCAGGGAAGTGACGTAAAATGCCAGTATCTGAGCCAAAATACTGCCACGACAAGGCGGGATCGGATTGATAGTTTTGTTTAAACACCTCATCTAATTCTTCGGTCCACATAATGGCTTCTAGGACTCTGGGGTCTTTTATCAAAACAAAAATCACACAATTAGTAAATATTTGATTAATAATCCATTTTCTCTTACTTACGTTTATCATACACATTGGAGGGTACATGGACGGAACTATATTCTGTATTCACAGATATATTATAAAAATGTGTATCCGGATTTAGTGTCATATTCAAGTACATATAACTATTATTCTGTAAATGTTCCATTAGCTCTTCAGCCGATTTTCCCTCAAATGTTGAGAATTTACTGGAATAATATTGAAATTCATTTTCAGCATACGTTCGATTGTATTCGAAATTTTCGAAAACATCTTCGGCTTTAGCTTGTATACATTTAACAGCATCCATTTTGCGGGCTAACATTTTGCCCACATTGGCTGTGATCGATTTAATAAGTTCGGTACCATTTTTTAATTCTACACGGGCATTATATTCTTTGTATTTCTAAGATATTGTTACGATTAGCTTTAAGTTCTTAGTCGATTAGTATAAAGCAAACTTACCGCTTTAATTTCTTGTGACTTAGTCATACGTTGTGCGAGTTCCCACAGCTCATCGCCAAATTGGGTGGCCCATTTGCCAACACTGAAAAAAGGAAAGAAGATATTATTAGTTTAAATGAATTAGAGCTGAACTATAACTGAAGTAGAACTGAACTACAACTGAAATAAAACTGAACTAGAATTGAATTAGAACTGAACTAGAACTGAACTAGAACTGAACTAGAACTGAACTAGAACTGAACTAGAACTGAACTAGAACTGAACTAGAACTGAACTAGAACTGAACTAGAACTGAACTAGAACTGAACTAGAACTGAACTAGAACTGAACTAGAACTGAACTAGAACTGAACTAGAACTAGAACTGAACTAGAATTGAACTAGAACTAGAACTGAACTAGAACTGAACTAGAACTGAACTAGAACTGAACTAGAACTGAACTAGAACTGAACTAGAACTGAACTAGAACTGAACTAGAACTGAACTAGAACTGAACTAGAACTGAACTAGAACTGAACTAGAACTGAACTAGAACTGAACTAGAACTGAACTAGAACTGAACTAGAACTGAACTAGAACTGAACTAGAACTGAACTAGAACTGAACTAGAACTGAACTAGAACTGAACTAGAACTGAACTAGAACTGAACTAGAACTGAACTAGAACTGAACTAGAACTGAACTAGAACTGAAGAACTGAACTAGAACTGAACTAGAACTGAACTAGAACTGAACTAGAACTGAACTAAACTGAACTAGAACTGAACTAGAACTGAACTAGAACTGAACTAGAACTGAACTAGAACTGAACTAGAACTGAACTAGAACTGAACTTGCACTGAACTAGAACTGAACTAGAACTGAACTAGAACTGAACTAGAACTGAACTAGAACTGAACTAGAACTGAACTAGAACTGAACTAGAACTGAACTAGAACTGAACTAGAACTGAACTAGAACTGAACTAGAACTGAACTAGAACTGAACTAGAACTGAACTAGAACTGAACTAGAACTGAACTAGAACTGAACTAGAACTGAACTAGAACTGAACTAGAACTGAACTAGAACTGAACTAGAACTGAACTAGAACTGAACTAGAACTGAACTAGAACTGAACTAGAACTGAACTAGAACTGAACTAGAACTGAACTAGAACTGAACTAGAACTGAACTAGAACTGAACTAGAACTGAACTAGAACTGAACTAGAACTGAACTGAACTAGAACTGAACTAGAACTGAACTAGAACTGAACTAGAACTGAACTAGAACTGAACTAAAACTGAACTAGAACTGAACTAGAACTGAACTAGAACTGAACTAGAACTGAACTAGAACTGAACTTGAACTGAACTAGAACTGAACTAGAACTGAACTAGAACTGAACTAGAACTGAACGAGAACTGAACTTGAACTGAACTGAACTAGAACTGAACTAGAACTGAACTAGAACTGAACTAGAACTGAACTAGAACTGAACTAGAACTGAACTGGAACTGAACTAGAACTGAACTAGAACTGAACTAGAACTGAACTAGAACTGAACTAGAACTGAACTAGAACTGAACTAGAACTGAACTAGAACTGAACTAGAACTGAACTAGAACTGAACTAGAACTGAACTAGAACTGAACTAGAACTGAACTAGAACTGAACTAGAACTGAACTAGAACTGAACTAGAACTGAACTAGAACTGAACTAGAACTGAACTAGAACTGAACTAGAACTGAACTAGAACTGAACTAGAACTGAACTAGAACTGAACTAGAACTGAACTAGAACTGAACTAGAACTGAACTAGAACTGAACTAGAACTGAACTAGCACTGAACTAGAACTGAACTAGAACTGAACTAGAACTGAACTAGAACTGAACTAGAACTGAACTAGAACTGAACTATAACTGAACTAGAACTGAACTAGAACTGAACTAGAACTGAACTAGAACTGAACTAGAACTGAACTAGAACTGAACTAGAACTGAACTAGAACTGAACTAGAACTGAACTAGAACTGAACTAGAACTGAACTAGAACTGAACTAGAACTGAACTAGAACTGAACTAGAACTGAACTAGAACTGAACTAGAACTGAACTAGAACTGAACTAGAACTGAACTAGAACTGAACTAGAACTGAACTAGAACTGAACTAGAACTGAACTAGAACTGAACTAGAACTGAACTAGAACTGAACTAGAACTGAACTAGAACTGAACTAGAACTGAACTAGAACTGAACTAGAACTGCACTAGAACTAAACTAGAACTGAACTAGAACTGAACTAGAACTGCACTAGAACTGAACTAGAAATTGAAACTTAATCTGAATTAGAAGAATACATTAATTTACATATCTGATTTCCTTTTAATTGTGTTAACTTAATTTACGTTTGTCAAAAACCTGACACTTTAAATACAACATTTAAATTATGTTTGAAACAACAACCTAAATATTGTTAGCAAAATTGTTGAAATGTTTTCGACATATTTTTTTGCTGCTTTTAATTTAATTAATCTACATAATCATCAGAACACAAGTGATGATGTGTGGCATTACTTTCGTCATCAACGTCAACAAACACACACGTAACTGCGTCATGTTTCAAACAAATAAAAACTCAAAATAAATTCTAATCTAAATTTAGACGACAACAAAATGCCTGTGAAATGCGTGTCATTAACACCAAAAACAAATATCAAACAAAACACTGAAACACTTACACCTACACAAAAAAAGACACTGTGCAACTGACTCATAAAAAATACCAAAAACAAAACAAGACGAGCCCTCTTTCAAATGTTTTTATTTTAGTTCCTTTATTTCGACATTTATCTTCTGTTTGTATATATTTTCTTATGTCAAAATGTTGACATTTAGCAACAAGTGGCAAACGTATACGCAATTTAATATAAATGTCAAAAACAAAATGGAATTGTATTAAAAGAATAGGTAAGGAGCAAGTAAAGAAAATGTCATAATTTTGTTTATTGTTTGCTTCTTATATACATTTTGTTTTCCGGGGCTTTTCTTCATTTTGTTTTGCTCCTCTGATTTTTGTAGCTCTCTTCTTGGCCTTCTTTGTGTTTCTCTTTTGCTCTCACTCTTATTCCATTTTCACGTTAATTTAAATATGTATATTTTCTGTAAATTTTAATTTATAGTTTTAGGAGGGCAAACTGAAAAGATTAAATTTTTTGTCATAAAAGTATTAAAGTTTTTATAATAAAACGCAACAGAACTATAACGGTAGCAGAATAGAAATAGAAAAGATCTAGAATAGAACTAGAACAGATCTAGAATACAACTTTAAAAAAAAGTAGAACAGAACTAGAACAGAAAGAACATAACTAGAACATAACTAGAACAGAACCAGAACAGAACTAGAACAGAACTAGAACAGAACTAGAACAGAACTAGAACAGAACTAGAACAGAACTAGAACTAGAACAGAACTAGAACAGAACTAGAACAGAACTAGAACAGAACTAGAACAGAACTAGAACAGAACTAGAACTAGAACTAGAACAGAACTAGAACAGAACTGGAGCAGAACTGGAGTAGAACTAGAACAGAACTAGAACAGAACTAGAACAGAACTAGAACAGAACTAGAACAGAACTAGAACAGAACTAGAACAGAACTAGAACAGAACTAGAACAGAACTAGAACAGAACTAGAACAGAACTAGAACACACTAGAACAGAACTAGACAGAACTAGAACAGAACTAGAACAGAACTAGAACAGAACGTAGAACAGAACTAGAACAGAACTAGAACAGAACTAGAACAGAACTAGAACAGAACTAGAACAGAACTAGAACAGAACTAGAACAGAACTAGAACAGAACTAGAACAGAACTAGAACAGAACTAGAACAGAACTAGAACAGAACTAGAACAGAACTAGAACAGAACTAGAACAGAACTAGAACAGAACTAGAACAGAACTAGAACAGAACTAGAAAAGAAAGAACAGAACTAGAACAGAACTAGAGCAGAACTAGAACGGAACTAGAACGGAACTAGAGCAGAACTAGAACAGAACTAGAACAGAACTAGAACAGAACTAGATTAGAACTAGAACAGAACTAGAACAGAACTAGAACAGAACTCGAACAGAACTAGAACAGAACTAGGACAGAATTAGAACAGAACTAGAACAGAACTAGAACAGAACTAGAACAGAACTAGAACAGAACTAGAACAGAACTAGAACAGAACTAGAACAGAACTAGAACAGAACTAGAACAGAACTAGAACAGAACTAGAACAGAACTAGAACAGAACTAGAACAGAACTAGAACAGAACTAGAACAGAACTAGAACAGAACTAGAACAGAACTAGAACAGAACTAGAAAGAACTAGAACTGAACTAGAACAGAACTAGAACAGAACTAGAACAGAACTAGAACAGAACTAGAACAGAACTAGAACAGAACTAGAACAGAACTAGAACAGAACTAGAACAGAACTAGAACAGAACTAGAACAGAACTAGAACAGAACTAGAACAGAACTAGAACAGAACTAGAACAGAACTAGAACAGAACTAGAACAGAACTAGAACAGAACTAGAACAGAACTAGAACAGAACTAGAACAGAACTAGAACAGAACTAGAACAGAACTAGAACAGAACTAGAACAGACTAGAACAGAACTAGAACAGAACTAGAACAGAACTAGAACAGAACTAGAACAGAACTAGAACAGAACTAGAAAGAACTAGAACAGAACTAGAACAGAACTAGAACAGAACTAGAACAGAACTAGAACAGAACTTGATCAGAACTAGAACGGAACTAGAACGGAACTAGAACGGAACTAGAACAGAACTAGAACAGAACTAGAACAGAACTAGAACAGGACTAGAACAGAACTAGAACAGAAATAGAACAGAACTAGCACATAACTATAACAGACCTAGAAGAGAACTGGAACAGAACTAAAACACTGTTGAACTGGAACGGAACAAGGTATCTGATCACTTTAAGTCCTTTTTCAGTCTTCTCTCCAGTTCACAAATTTATTGTTCTAAAAAAATTTTATTCAAAATTAGTTTAAATTTCCTCTTGTTGTTTACTACTGTCTGTCTGCCTGTCACTGTCACACACTATCGGATGAGAGCTTGTTCACAACATTTTTGCTGTTAATTTAGTTGTTATTCACAATCTGATTCCTTTTTCCTCTGTTTAACAAATTTTTTCTTTAGAAGGGATGTTTTTGTTGTTGTAAGGTGTCGTGTTGTATTGTTTTATGGTTGCTGAAAAGCTGAAGGACTCTATATAGTGTTTTGATGGAGGAGTGGTGGGTGGTGATTGTTTTGTTTGATTTCAAGTGGGGCAACAAGTGTTGTAGCTACTCTATACAAAATTTGTTTTTGATGTTTTTTATTTCTTTATTGATTATTGGCTTTAATTCCATTTTGTATATTAAAAAAATGTTTTTGCTTGAAATAATTTAATTAAGAATATTAAATTTTGTGAAATAAGCGCATAAACTTCAAAGGGAATAAAATTTTAAGAGATGGAATAGCGTGGAAAAGTATGGAAATTAAATTTAATGATTATAGAAAAGAAATATTTAAACTTTTGTAAACATATGGTTAAAGTTTAAATATACTGTTATTTCAAGCAACATTTTGAAATAGAAATCAGCAGTTAAACTTCGATTAACACTGGTAAACTAAGTTTAAACTCTGTTAAGCTAAGTTTAACATATTTGTTCATTAAGATATGGAAATAAGTTTTGTAAATTATAGTTTGCCATCAATATAGAAGCTTAAACTTAACTTTAATCTTTGTTTAAACCTAGATTATTCAAAATTAAACCAATTTCGCAATATTTATTTGTTTTTCTTAAATATTTTCCTGTATTTTTAAACTTTCTTTCATATTTCCCTTATCAAAGTTTGATTGAAATGTTAACATTCCTTTTTTGTCGTTTACATAAATATTTTTTTCTGCTTCAAAGTCTTTAAATATCTATGGCTACTTGACAAGCTTCAAAAGAATTCTACGTAAACGCTTTCGGCTGTTTGCAAAATATTTTGACCCCCACAATAGAAAAAAAAGAGAAAAACACTAGAGAAATGTGTAAATATTTGTTTCCTCTGAATTTTAAAATACTACAATATAAACAACTTTAAAACATAAAAAATGTATTTATAAGTTTTTTTCTAACCGATAAAACGCATTAAAGTGTTAATAGTCCGATCAATAAAATGCACATGTTTCTGTTATATCTACATATATAAGAAGATTTCTATTTGTATCAGGCCTTTTTATACTCATGCCAAACAGACTCATTCGAACAAAATCTTTAAAATACAGATACAATAAAATATATGGTTAAGGAAAAGTATAGGTGAAGTCAATTTTGCAAAACAAAACTAGAACAGAAGTAGAACTAGAGCAGAACTAGAACAGAACTAGAACAGAAACTAGAAGAACAGAACTAGAACAGAACTAGAACAGAACTAGAACAGAACTAGAACAGAACTAGAACAGAACTAGAACAGAACTAGAACAGAACTAGAACAGAACTAGATCATAACTAGAACAGAACTGGAACAGAACTAGAACAGAACTAGAACAGAACTAGAACAGAACTAGAACAGAACTAGAACAGAACTAGAACAGAACTAGAACAGAACTAGAACAGAACTAGAACAGAACTAGAACAGAACTAGAACAGAACTAGAACAGAACTAGAACAGAACTAGAACAGAACTAGAACAGAACTAGAACAGAACTAGAACAGAACTAGAACAGAACTAGAACAGAACTAGACCAGAACTAGAACAGAACTAGAACAGAACTAGAACAGAACTAGAAGAGAACTAGAACAGAACTGGAACAGAACTACAACAGAACTACAACAGAACTAGAACAGAACTAGAACAGAACTAGAACAGAACTAGAACAGAACTAGAACAGAACTAGAACAGAACTAGAACAGAACTAGAACAGAACTAGAAAGAACTAGAATAGAACTAGAACAGAACTAGAACAGAACTAGAACTAGAACTAGAATAGAACTAGAACAGAACTAGAACAGAACTAGAACAGAACTAGAACAGAACTAGAACAGAACTAGAACAGAACTAGAACAGAACTAGAACCGAACTAGAACAGAACTAGAACAGAACTAGAACAGAACTAGAACAGAACTAGAACAGAACTAGAACAGAAACTAGAACAGAACTAGAACAGAAACTAGAACAGAACTAGAACAGAACTAGAACAGAACTAGAACAGAACTAGAACAGAACTAGAACAGAACTAGAACAGAACTAGAACAGAACTAGAACAGAACTAGCACAGAACTAGAACAGAACTAGAACAGAACTAGAACAGAACCTAGAACAGAACTAGAACAGAACTAGAACAGAACTAGAACAGAACTCGAACAGAACTAGACAGAACTAGAACGAACTAGAACAGAACTAGAACAGAACTAGAACAGAACTAGAACAGAACAGAACAGAACTAGAAACTAGAACTAGAACAGAACTAGAACAGAACTAGAAACAGAAACTAGAACAGAACTAGAACAGAACTAGAACAGAACTAGAACAGAACTAGAACAGAACTAGAACAGAACTAGAACAGAACTAGAACAGAACTAGAACAGAACTAGAAACAGAACTAATCGAACAGAACTAGAACAGAACTAGAACAGAACTAGAACAGAACTAGAAACAGAAACTAGAACAGAAATAGATCAGAACTAGAACAGAACTAGAACAGAACTAGAACAGAACTGGAACAGAACAGAACTAGAGGCAGAACTAGAACAGATTAGAACTAGAACTATACAATAACTAGAACAGAACTAGAACAGAACTAGAACAGAACTAGAACTGAACTAGAACGACTAGAAACTTGAACAGAACAACTAGAACCTAACTAGAACAGAACTAGAACAGAAAAGAACTGAACTAGAACAGAACTAGAACATAACTAGAACAGAACTAGAACAAAACTAGAACAGAACTAGAACAGAACTAAAACAGAACTAGAACAGAACTAGAACAGAACTAGAACAGAACTAGAACAGAACTAGAACAGAACTAGAACAGAACTAGAACAGAACTAGAACAGAACTAGAACAGAACTAGAACAGAACTAGAACAGAACTAGAACAGAACTAGAACAGAACTAGAACAGAACTAGAACAGAACTAGAACAGAACTAGAACAGTACTAGAACAGAACTAGAACAGAACTAGAACAGAACTAGAACAGAGCTGGAATAGAACTAGAACAGAATAAGAACTGAGCTAGAACTAAGCTAAACAGAACTAAAACTTAACTAGAACTAAACTAGAACTAACTAGAGCTAACGTAGAACTAAACTAGAACAGAATTGGAACTAAACTAGAGCTAAACTAGAACTAAACTAGAACAGAATTGGAACTAAACTAGAACAGAATTGGAACTAAACTAGAACTAAACTGAAACTAAGCTAGAACACTAAAACTTACATAAACTAAACTAGAATTAAATTAGAAGAAAACTATAACTAAACTGGAACTAAACTGGAAATAAACTTGAACTAAGCTAGAACTAAACTAGAACTAAATTAGTACCAATCTCGAACTAAACTAGGACTACAACAGATCTAAACTGGAACAAAACTAGAACAGAACTAAAGCTAAAATATAACTAAACAAGAAGTAAACTTGAACTAACTAGAACTAAGCTAAAACAGAACTAGAACTAAACCAAAACTAAACTGAAACTAAGCTAGAACATAACTAGAACTTAAATAGAACTAAACTAGAACTAAAACGGAACTAAAACTAAACTTTAACTAAACTAGAATTGAACTAGGACATAACTAGAACTTAAATAGAACTAAAACTAACTTTTCCTAAACTAGAATTGAACTAGAACAAAACTAGAACTAAGCTAGAACTAAACTGGACCTAAACTAGAACTAAACTAAAACTAAATTAGAACTAAACTACAACTAAGCTAGAATTGAACTAGGACTACACTAGATCTAAACTAGAACTAAACTAAAACAGAACTAGAACAGAAAAAAAATAAATAAACTAGAACTGAACTTGAACTAAACTAGAACTAAGCTAAAACATAACTAGAACTTAACTAGAACTAACTAGAAATAAAGTAGAACTAAACTAGAGCAGAACTAAAACAGAACTAGAACAGAACTGGAACTACACTAGAATATAACTACAGCAGAACTTGAACTGAACTACAACAGCACTTAAACAGAACTAGAATAAAACTAGTGACCAGAAGTAGGGTACATGTACTAAATATTAATTTAAACTAAACACTCAGCGACCACAAGAGGACTTCATTCAATTGTCAGCTGAAATGTTTAAATTAACATAAAGCCTCCCCGCTCTTTATTCTCTAAGGACATATTCATGATATTGCAAGAGTAAACTACAAGTACAACAACTACAACAATAACTATATGCTTAAGGTGTAATGAAAACAACAGCAACAAACAACGAGTGATAGTAGAGTGACTGTCATAATGTTGTATTGTGTGCACTAGAAATGTTTGTCGAAGAGGACGGTAGAAGAATAGAGAAATTGTTGTCACAGGATACTTACGCTTCATCCTCGGGAGTGGCTTTCACTTGTGTCAAATTAGGTGGCAGGCATATTAAATAAAACAGCAGGAATGCGGTCAAAACTACAGAAATATGTGTCATCAACTTATCACACGATGAACAAAACATTTTTCTAGCATTTTCTTAACGTAATTTTTTTTTCTGCTTTTGTTTCACTTATTTTTTTTTTTCAATAATTCGTTTGGTTTTTCTAATTGTTGTTGTTGTACACCTAGTTGGTGTTTTTTTGTATAAATTTTTTTAAATTTTATTTTTATAATATTTTATTAATTTGGGATTTTTTGGTTAAAAGAAATAAGGAAGTAAGAAGATTTTTAAAATTTGACTTTTTATTATTAAATTTTTAAACACTTTTTGTATTTTTTTTAAATTTAAATTTTTTAAAATTTCCTGGTGATTTTTCTTTAAAATCTTGGGTGTAACCTTATTTTTTTCACATATTTTTCATACACTTTTCTCTTATTTTTTTGTGTTATGCTTTAACATTTTTCCTTTTTTTTATTATTTTTTCCAATTTCCATACATTCCAGCTTTGTTTAGCTTTTTAGTTTTATAAAATTATTAAAATTTCTTTAATTTTAAAAGATTTTCTTTAAAATTTTTCCTAAATTCAATGTAATTTCTTAAGAAAAACCATAAAAAAATTTCAGCTGTGCGTTAATTTTCTATATATAAACCACGTTCAACCTCTATAATTTCTATTTTTGTTGTTGGTTTCTTTCGGTTTCACTAAATTGTTGTTGTATTTTCATCACATATGCCCGAATTTTTCAAATACACACATACAAATACATTAAACAAAAAATTTCTTTTTATTGCCGTTGTTCCACCCGTTAACTTTGAAAAGCTGCCGAAACTAAAAAGAAATTGTATTTTCCAACTGTCAAACTGGGTAAGAAAAAAAAAAAAAAAGAAAATAGAAAAGAAAATTGTAAAAAAAATAAATGGGGGAGAATAAAAATGGTGTCTATTTTTAGCAGGATTAATAAACAAAACAGCAAATGTCAAAATCAGCTGTTCAGCACTTTTCCTGTTCTACTAATTTGTTTACATTTTTCTATATGCTTTGTTTGTATTGATTTTTCCTGTCTCTTACACTTTCTCTTCTATTTCACTCTCTCTCTCTCTTCTTTAAGTTGTTTATGTTTTTCTTTATAAAAAGCACGTGTAACAACCCGTTTATTTTGTATTATTTTCTTCAAAGCCCCCGGCCGTTTAAAGGGTTAAAGTGTACAAAAAAGCCATTTTATCTTTTGTTATTTCTTAATTAGTTAATGTTTGTTTTAATTTTCCTTTTTAAATGTTTTTTTTATAATATTTTTTGTTGTTCTTGCTTTTCGAAAGTCAAGTATTTTCTAATGGAAAGTAAATAAACTATTTGGCTAATATTTAGAAAATAAACTCAAAAACAAAAATGACAAAAAATGGAGGTCACTGTAGAATGGGGCTGAATAAAAACAAATGGAGATTAATAATGCATGTGTTAGGAAGAAAATTAAACAAATTAATTGTGTATAAACAAACTGGACAGTGGGTTATAACAAATATTGAAATTTTATAGATCATATAGAATAGATTATAGATTAGGATATAACTAGATTATAGAATGGACTAGATTATAGAATAGACTATAGTCTAATCTATAGACTAGGTTACAGTCTAATCTAAAGACTAGATTATGGAATAGACTATAGTCCTAATCTATAGACTAGACTATAGGCTAGATTATGGACTAGATTATAGACTTGATTATTGACTAGGACTATATACTAGACTATAGACTAGAATATAGGCAAGACTATAGATTAGACTAGACTATAGACTAGATTATAGAATAGATTAAAGACTATACTATAGACTAGACTAGACTACATTATATACTAGCTTATAGTCTAGATTATGGACTAGAATATAGTCTGATCTATAGTCTAGACTATATACTAGATTATAGAATAGACTAAAGACTACACTATAGACTATAGTCTAGTCTACAGTCTAGTCTATAGTCTAGTCTATAGTCTAGTCTATAGTCTAGTCTATAGTCTAGTCTATAGTCTAGTCTATAGTCTAGTCTATAGTCTAGTCTATAGTCTAGTCTATAGTCTAGTCTATAGTCTAGTCTATAGTCTAGTCTATAGTCTAGTCTATAGTCTAGTCTATAGTCTAGTCTATAGTCTAGTCTATAGTCTAGTCTATAGTCTAGTCTATAGTCTAGTCTATAGTCTAGTCTATAGTCTAGTCTATAGTCTAGTCTATAGTCTAGTCTATAGTCTAGTCTATAGTCTAGTCTATAGTCTAGTCTATAGTCTAGTCTATAGTCTAGTCTATAGTCTAGTCTATAGTCTAGTCTATAGTCTAGTCTATAGTCTAGTCTATAGTCTAGTCTATAGTCTAGTCTATAGTCTAGTCTATAGTCTAGTCTATAGTCTAGTCTATAGTCTAGTCTATAGTCTAGTCTATAGTCTAGTCTATAGTCTAGTCTATAGTCTAGTCTATAGTCTAGTCTATAGTCTAGTCTATAGCATAGCTGTAAAATAACGATTAATATTCGTAATCATTATTAATTAGATTATTTTTATTAAAAAGGTAAAATTAATGATTAATTAACGATTATTTTAATTTTTTTAATTAATAATTGATTACGATTAAAAATAATCTAAAAATAATCAGGTATTAATTGGAATTAATGAAAATAATAAAAAAAAACAAAATTAATCAAAAAAATTAGTTGATTATTTGCAAGGATTACTTTTGATTAATTTTGATTATTTTCCAAAAAAAAAAACTCTAAGAAAAATTTAATTATTTTTCCACTAAAAATTACGGATTTTTTGAGACCCATTTCGAAAAGATTGCAGTCATTTTTTTCTAATATCTTGTACTGATATCAAGATTTTCAATCGAAATAAACTTGATAATATATTGCTTTCAATAAAACAGTCATATAATCGAATAGTGTGTAATTTGAAAAACATTTTTCCATTACACGTATTGTAAAAAGACAGAGAATTGTACCAAATATATTGAAATTAATCCTTGAAAATAATCAAATTAATTGTTTGATTAATTCTGATTATTTTGATTATTTTCATTAATTTTAATTAATCCTGATTATTTTTAGATTAATTTTAATCGTAATCAATTAATAGTCAGAAATTTTATACCAGAGAATTAAATAATCATTACGATTATTTTTTAAAAATAATTTAATTGATTATTAATCGTAATCGAAATTTTACAGCTATGGTCTATAGTCTAGTCTAGTTTATAGTCTAGTCTATAATCTAGTCTATAGTCTGTTCTATAGTATAGTCTATAGTCTAGTCTATAGTCTAGTCTATAGTCTAGTCTATAGTCTAGTCTATAGTCTAGTCTATAGTCTAGTCTATAGTCTAGTCTATAGTCTAGTCTATAGTCTAGTCTATAGTCTAGTCTATAGTCTAGTCTATAGTTTAGTCTATAGTCTAGTCTATAGTCTAGTCTGTAGTCTAGTCTAGTCTAGTCTATAGTCCAGTCTAGTCTAGTCTATAGTCTAGTCTAGTCTATAGTCTAGTCTATAGTCTAGTCTATAGTCTAGTCTATAGTCTAGTCTATAGTCTAGTCTATAGTCTAGTCTATAGTCTAGTCTATAGTCTAGTCTATAGTCTAGTCTATAGTCTAGTCTATAGTCTAGTCTATAGTCTAGTCTATAGTCTAGTCTATAGTCTAGTCTATAGTCTAGTCTATAGTCTAGTCTATAGTCTAGTATATAGTCTAGTCTATAGTCTAGTCTATAGTCTAGTCTAGTCTATAGTCTAGTCTAGTCTATAGTCTAGTCTAGTCTAGTCTAGTCTATAGTCTAGTCTAGTCTATAGTCTAGTCTATAGTCTAGTCTATAGTCTAGTCTATAGTCTAGTCTATAGTCTAGTCTATAGTCTAGTCTATAGTCTAGTCTAGTCTAGTCTATAGTCTAGTCTATAGTCTAGTCTATAGTCTAGTCTATAGTCTAGTCTATAGTCGTCTATAGTCTAGTCTATAGTCTAGTCTTTAGTCTAGTCTATAGTCTAGTCTATAGTCTAGTCTATAGTCTAGTATAAGTCTAGTCTATAGTCTAGTCTATAGTCTAGTCTATATTCTAGTCTATATTCTAGTCTATAGTCTAGTCATAGTCTAGTCTATAGTCTAGTCTATAGTCTAGTCTATAGTCTAGTCTATAGTCTAGTCTATAGTCTAGTCTATAGTCTAGTCTATAGTCTAGTCTATAGTCTAGTCTATAGTCTAGTCTATAGTCTAGTCTATAGTCTAGTCTATAGTCTAGTCTATAGTCTAGTCTATAGTCTAGTCTATAGTCTAGTCTATAGTCTAGTCTATAGTCTAGTCTATAGTCTAGTCTTAGTCTAGTCTATAGTCTAGTCTATAGTCTAGTCTATAGTCTAGTCTATAGTCTAGTCTATAGTCTAGTCTATAGTCTAGTCTATAGTCTAGTCTATAGTCTAGTCTATAGTCTAGTCTATAGTCTAGTCTATAGTCTAGTCTATAGTCTAGTCTATAGTCTAGTCTATAGTCTAGTCTATAGTCTAGTCTATAGTCTAGTCTATAGTCTAGTCTATAGTCTAGTCTATAGTCTAGTCTATAGTCTAGTCTATAGTCTAGTCTATAGTCTAGTCTATAGTCTAGTCTATAGTCTAGTCTATAGTCTAGTCTATAGTCTAGTCTATAGTCTAGTCTATAGTCTAGTCTATAGTCTAGTCTATAGTCTAGTCTATAGTCTAGTCTGTAGTCTAGTCTGTAGTCTAGTCTGTAGTCTAGTCTGTAGTCTAGTCTATAGTCTAGTCTATAGTCTAGTCTATAGTCTAGTCTATAGTCTAGTCTATAGTCTAGTCTATAGTGTAGTCTATAGTGTAGTCTATAGTCTAGTCTATAGTCTAGTCTATAGTCTAGTCTATAGTCTAGTCTATAGTCTAGTCTAGTCTATAGTCTAGTCTATAGTCTAGTCTATAGTCTAGTCTATAGTCTAGTCTAGTCTAGTCTATAGTCTAGTCTATAGTCTAGTCTATAGTCTAGTCTATAGTCTAGTCTATAGTCTAGTCTATAGTCTAGTCTATAGTCTAGTCTATAGTCTAGTCTATAGTCTAGTCTATAGTCTAGTCTATAGTCTAGTCTATAGTCTAGTCTATAGTCTAGTCTATAGTCTAGTCTATAGTCTAGTCTATAGTCTAGTCTATAGTCTAGTCTATAGTCTAGTCTATAGTCTAGTCTATAGTCTAGTCTATAGTCTA